TAATATTTGCGTGCTATTTACATGTTCAAACGATTCATGATTTTATGTGCGCAGTTTGTAAATGAACCGGTCTTTTGCGGTATATTATAAGTAAAACATAACCTTAATTTTTTTAATATAACCAATATTTTTAAATAAAGCGTAAAATATAAAAGGACATTTCAAATATTACAATTAAATGCCACCAAAATAACTCCGAAAACACACGATCAATTCATCTGTTGTAAATCAGAAATAATATTTTTATCTACCGGACAAAATACCGTAACTGCACAGATTATTTATACGCTACATTGTTCGATGTAGTTTAGTAGTGCTCAATTTCGGCTACTCATGAGAAATTTTAACATGTAAATAAATATAATAATGAGGTTATGAATTCTCATACTTAAGAATTTCTAAAATTTCTGAATAAAAACCAAGGTTTTAAGTTATCATATTATTAGGTTTAAATTTAAAATATATTTGTATTTGGTAATTAGAGATCAATTCAATTTATTTGAGCCTCATCTGCAACAAATTAAAAAAAAAAATTAAAATTTTTCTACAAATGTCAAGAACAAATTTTTTTTTTAATTTTACTCTAAAATTAAAATTATAACTATAGATTTATCCTTTTCCAATAATGTGCAATTTCTACTTATATTATTTTCTGGTCCTCAAAAGATAAAATGTATAGCGTTGCTCTTTATGTATAGTTTTGCTCTTTATGTCCAATTAACTAAAAACAAAAAATCCCCAAATGGAATATGACAAAAGCAAATTAACTGCATTTTTTTTGCTATTATTGCAGCATCTAAAATCAAATACAATATGTAATCTAGCATCTCGCATTCATATATACTTAAAATTGAATTCCATTCCGAAAAAAAAAAAAACAAAATATTTTAAAGCATATTGAGTGCCTCTTATTTTTTTTCCATTGTGTTAATCTACAAGGATATCTTTTAAATGAAATTCATTTACAATTTGTTTTCCTGTTTATATACATATAACATACACATTTATTTATATATTTTGTATAATATATAAATATTATGTGGTATATATTCTATTAAATCGAAGCAGCATATGAGCTCAGAATATTAATAAAATGTGGTTAAAATTGAAAAAAAACAGTGAACATTCAAAATGAAAATATTGAAATTCAGTTTTTATTGTTATATTTTGATTTTGTTGTCTTGAAAATTGATGAAGATAAGGGAACACATTCAATATTGTAATTCAATAGGAAACAAATGTTTTAGTTGATTCATATTGGATTAATATAGAAAAAAAAATATGAGTAAATTTAAATGTTTTTAAATATGTAGATATTACAAATTTTCAATATTTCATTTAATAAATATTTTTAACATTAATGCGATTATAATGGTTGAAAAATTTTTAATATTGTTATAATTCCTACATAACAAGTGGTTATTCGTAATAAATCCAATAGAGTAAAAAAGCAGTATTTAGATTAGATATACAATAGAGAAGCAGTGATATTAATAAGGTTGGATCAATAATTGCATACATTTAGGATGAGACAAAACAAAAAATTGAGAGGCGTTAACATAATGGTAGAATTGAAGGGTTAATTGCGTGAGTTAAGATAAATATTTATATTTTTTGATGGAGCATAGCATCTGCCTCTAGCTTTCTGCACTTATAAAAGTTTGGGGAAGCTTGCAGTTTCGAAAATATAAAATGCCGAAAATTAAGTTTTTACAACATTCGAGAAGCGATAACTTGAGAGCGGATGGAAATAGGAAGAGATTTTCTTCCATCGAAACGAACTACCTATTTACTAGCATCCAAAAGCTAGTAGTATTTTAGACTCCTACAACTTATTGTCTAGAAAAAAAAAACAATATCAAAAATTAGAAAACATAGACTTTAGATAACAGTTCAAGTTTCAATAGCCATTCTGTCATTTCCATGTTCAACTACGGTATGTCGCAATAAAATGCAGCCACTAATTTTTTGCGTTTGCAGATTTTAAAAAATGTATATAGCATTTTTAGGACTTTAACGCCCCGATAACTTTTTACATTAGATATTGAGATAGATAAAATTTTTCCCTGTAACTTTCTAGTAAAGAACTATTTTTATATAAAATCAAAGTTTTCTATCTTAAACAGTGTAAAAATTTTGTAAACAGTTACACGGACGGACGGAACAGAATGAAACAAATAAGCACTTTTTTCAAATTTACTCCTGGAAAGTTGAATGAATACAAGTAAAAAATATCTTAGAAATTTCCTTTTTGTTTGTTAATTTAAATTATCCATACAAATTTATGCTTTTTCATCATTAACACAAAAATTAATACAATTTTGAGGATTTTTCTATACAAAGTATAAAATAATTATACAAAATAATGATAATTTGTTAAAAAGCATTGGAAATTATAAAAATATCTCACTCTTCTTTTTTCACTGTTCAACAAAAAAGAGGAAAATTAGATAAAAATACATAAGAATCTCTTCTATTCACAGATTAATCCTTTATTCATTTGATTTTTCTTATTCTCATTCCATTCAATTTAAAGTTGAATACTTAAATATTTAAAAGACTCTTTTAATATTGCACCTACATATTTGTATATTACCACATATTACCTATAATATATTATTTTATATAAATTTTATAATCTAAATGATGTATGTATGTGTATGTCACAGAATCAGATTCTATTTCAAATCATTTGCCTCTAATTTTATACCATTTTCGTTTTTTATTTTTTTTTGTTATTTTTCTTTGTCTTATTTCTTACAATATACACAAATATGACATACATATATAAACATTCGCTATGTCTCTGATGAATTCAATTTTTATAGTCTAAATACTCGTAGAATTTGATATGAATAATATTTTTGAAGAAGGATAAGAGAGCAAAATTACGATTGTGTAATAAGGATTCTATTTAAAATGATGCATTTTAAAAGAGTATATCAAGAATTTTTACTTCTGACATTTTTTTTCTTTTTAAGAATCGGATTCTTAAATATAGAACACTTCTTTTTTTGATGATTCAATGAATTTACTTTTTGATGATTCCTACTTTTAAAAAGTAATTGGAAGGTAAATGGGGGAAAAAAAAAACAAAAAGTTAATTATAGAAATTTTACTGCATTTGATACTTAAGCCGGAAAATTATTGACTGTATGAATTGAACAAAAAATATTAAAAATACTGAAATTACACACTCGTAATAATTAGAGATGAAAAACACTTTCATTTTATAACCAAATTATCGTTGATGAAAAAAAAGAAAATTTCATTACTTTTGGAGAATTTTAAAAATAAATCTTGATTGAAATTTACAAAGGCATGAAATGTAAGATAAATGCTATAGTAATCAATTTATAAGTGCTCATCATAATATTCTATTTTAAGGAATCTTAGAATACTAATTGTAAAATGAAAAATGAAATTTCTCTAGTATTTCACTTTACTCTATTATTTCAATTTGTTTGAATAATTATAGTTAAAAATCTGAAATATGCGGGAAATTACTTTAAAAATTTTATGATTTGAATTTTTTTGTTAAAGGAAATTCACTTTCAAATTCGCTTTTAAATTTAAAAAATAAACTTATAAAATAAAACTAATACTATTTTGCTTTAAATTATAATGAAAAATTCTAACACTACAAATAAAAGTTTACGAGTACTTAATTTCCGAATTTAAGAAAGTTCATTAACACATTATAATTCAGACAACACCTTAAATAATATAATAATTATAATAATTATTATTTTCGCTATACAATTAAATAAATCGACAATTAAATACCTTCTTTGTTTATAAACACACAATAATATATATTAATTCCGATATCATTTAAAATTCAATTCCCAGACCAATTAATTTATGTACATACATTAGATATGTATATTGTATAAGCATATAATATCTTGATAAAAAGAATGAGAAACAATAATTAAATTTTTTATATAAAATATTAAATTGATTTGGATTCCCAAAATAATAACAAGAAAGAAAAAGGAATTAAATTTCATTAGGATTAAATTTTCAATAGTATCAAAAATCTTAATTAGATTTTTCATTAATCAACAGGTTTATTGTAATTAATACACCAGAGAATTGTTTATTTTCTATTTAAGTCAATCAAAATAAAAATTAAATATGTAATTTTATGTAATAACCAATTACCTATGTAATAAAAACCTAAATAAATTTATATTAATAATCTCAAGAAATTTTTAAAGGCAAATTTTACTTTAATTTTCTTTAATTATTTGAGTTTTAAGTGAGTTACGTTAAACAATAAAGCCTTACGGTCATATTATGTATAATTGCTTATAAAAAAAAATTTTAATACACGGTATACTAACATACTATTGAACCAACATATCATGTAAGGCGTCACTTATTTATTTAAATTAGATTTTAGAAAATTATTTAACTTAAATTTTCACAGATAACATTTCGTATAGGTACTCTACAGATATCAAATACAATATTACTAGTTAATATAATATTGTAAATAAAATTAACTGTTGTTTGCTCGACCGTTGATTCAAAGTGAAATTGTTTTATATACTATTATACATCGAAGTCTAAAATCATTGAAATTATATTAAGAAAATATTAAAGTTAAAATTTGATCAAATCAAAACGAAGTACATGCATAAAACGGTTCCATAACAAAAATATTTACATCCAATAAAATTACTTCTCAAAATTACAATCTGCTGACTAAAAAAATCGCACTATCTTTTTATTTTACGATAATTTACAATAATTTCCTGGTCGCAATTTTTGTGCCTCAATAAAATCACAATAACATCAAAAACGTCAATTGATTCCCTATATTATTTTTTAATTAATATTGATTAATTATTTTTTTTATGTAAATATTTATTTAGCACTTACTTTTATATTCCAATAATTAAAGTAAATAAAATTACTATAATTTTCAAATATATGTTTTTCGAATAATTGCAAATATATGAACTAATTACTTATATAATTTTTATTTACAGGAATTTATTTTTTTTTTATAAGTATGCAAAATCATTTTTTAACAAATTTTGTGAGTGGCAAACAGCATATAGTTTTACTATTATATATACATACATATATACAAATTATGTATGATCATACTAATTAATTCTGTCAATTATCGTGGAACCGAAAAAATATAAATGAGGAAACATGGGAAATGGAATGAACAAGGTGAGTTTTTAATTTGAATTTTTTATAATAATATGTTGGTTTTAAAATCTAATGTGTTGGTCTTGAAACTTGATCATCTTAAAATTTTAGCAAAGTAAAAAATACAATAAATAACAATTCATAAAGAATATCGTATAGAAACGCCTCTTGAAAATTAAATAGTTTCATAGTAATTCAACATTGAAAAGATTAACTTAATCTCAATCTAGGCAATAAAAAAACATTTAAAATATAAATTCTTTGTATCTTATTGCTTTAAAAATTGTGTTTGAATACAATATTATAAACCGAGTGAAAAATATTTTAAAGTATGCATATTAATTTATTAAAAATTACTGTAATAATGTAAAAACATATAAAAATTAATTTATATATAAAATCTGCTTCATCTAATGCATCTACCTATTGAAATTTATATTAAAATTATGCTATGCCTCTTGTTGGCTTTCTACTAAAATCTAAATAGTTTGTAATATTGTTCTTTTTGTCGTAAAGAAATTTCTAATACACTGATCCATACACTTTAATCTTGATTTAAATTTTAATTTCAATTGTATTACAATTCAGTTTAGTTAATTTTAGTGTATGTATAAAAAAAACCTAGATACAATAACAAACAATGGTTGATATATAGCTTTATAACAAAAATTTCATGTACAGAGGCAAGAAATTCAAAATCAGAGTATACTTAAGTTTTCAACAAATTAGAAAATTTTTTAATTTTGTTCAGAAAATCGTATAAATTAGAAAGATTTAAGCTTTTATTACTACAAAGCTTTTTGATCTGGATTGCTATATTATTTAATAATTTTTTTTTAAATCTTTTGTTACAAGTCATAGTCATTTTACTAAAGATAGCCATTATCCACAGCATGCTTAAATATATCAGCCAATCTTTTACGATTCTCAACATTTTCCAATGGCTTAATTTTCCAAAAATCTAATAAAGTTGAGTTTTCAAAATTAACTGTATCTAAATCAGTAACATCATCATCATCTAGCATCGATAATGGTAACGATTCAATACAGAAACCACAGCCGAAACGTCCAAATTTTTTCAATTCTTCCTTAAAACCTTCATAGGGAAATATTTTTTTTGCATCTGATCCAAGGTTTTGAATTAAATTACAAGCACTTGTATGATAATCTTTTAGTAATTGTTCATAATGTTTAATTCTTTGTTCTTGAGACGTACTATTATATAATAAAAATATTAAATCAAAAATCGATGAACCATATCTGACCAATTGAAAATCAATAATTTTTACTTTCTCTGGTTTATTACCAGTGGAATCGTATTTTGTCAAAAAATTAGGACGCCAACAATCACCGTGACCAATAACAGCATAGGCCGTCTTATTATTAACCATTGATATCATATCTTCAAATAAATTTTCACCAAGAAACTTTTCTGCTTTTGCAGAATATTCTGAATTTGGATAGGTTTTTTGCACAGCATCTAAAGCTACATGAGAGGCGAGTTTTAAAAAACCACCATACCAATTTTTTAAATTTTTTGCGTAATAATGTTCATCTAATATACTTATTACTTTTTGAAACTCTTCAGGCTTTTGGTCTTTGAAAGCCAAAGATACGGCATGAAATCTTCCAAGAACTTTCAAAATTAATGAACATGTTTCGGTTTCAGTATAGCTCTGACGGCATGGAGCAATATAACCACTCACGCTAATATCTTCAAGTACAAGAAAATCATTTTCACCATCAGAATATGCAGCCAAACACTGTGGATATTCATCAAATATATCCTTAGATCCGGTACTTTTCTGAAAATCCATTAAGGCAGGAATGATTTTAGTATAAAAATCTATCTCATTCTTGAAAAACTCATCACTACGGAATGTTTGTCGACGGGCTACAGTTTTAGGCATAGTTTTGACTAATACTTTTACTTTACCAGTTTTTGAGGTAACAATAAGACGATATATCTCACTTAAATAGGAATCTCCTTTTTTCATATTAGAGTCTGCAAATTCAGCTACTACATTTTCAGTTCCAATTCCGGCATTTGATGCGATTTCTTTTAATGTTTCTAACGTGAACTTCTTGGAAATTATAGACAAATCCATTGTATATTTATTTTTCTATCTTTTTTTACTTAACTAATACAATATAATTCTTTGTACTAAATCTTTTTTAAAACAAAATATGTTGAATTTCTTACAAAAGCACTTAAAATCTTAAACAAGTGTTTGTGTGCACTTTCATACGTGTACTATATCCGCAAGAGTATGTTGGTATCTGTCCCCCTGCGATAGCTATCAGAGAACAAAATTAACTGAATAACTATTTCGGAGTTTAGGCACTACTTTATTTGAATATTGCAATGAAACTGCATTTAGAAATAAATTTTATCTAAAGCAAATAAATTCTTATCAACTTTTACACCATTGTCAACAATTGTCATTCTTGTAAAAGAACTTTTCTAATCTCTTCTCTTCTCTAATACAAGTAATTAATGAAAACCAACAATCATTACACGTATGTTTTGTTCACTTATTGCATTATTATAAAATTCACAATTACTGCTTTAAAAATTCACAATAGTTGATATTCTGTGAATTGTAAAATATTAAACATTTGTAGCAATGATATATCGCAATTTGCAATATAGCCAAATTACCTTTTAATGCATGATAAAATTAGAAATTTTCATTAGGTAAACTTTTAACAAATAGACGACACGGTTTTGTGAGAGGAGCGAAATCTGAAGTATAGGAACATATAGGTGAATAAAAAGTTGAAAGAACACGGATGTCTTGATGTTTTCTGACTTAAAATTTAGTAATTTTTTTTACTGAAATAGAATAATTCGCAATTATTTTCGCCTCAAATTCGCTTGACGTTTAAATTCAATGCATAGATACATAACAATAAAGCTTTTGATTTTTTAATAAAGCTTTCAGTATCAAAAGTTATTTTAATATTAAAAACAAAAACAACAGCTGTTTTATTCGAATGTTTTACATGACGTAAAGGACATTTGGCAAGAATCATGAAAAAGTATTTGTTTGTGACTTTATGTACTCGTACTTGATTCGGAGCAATTTTTTTTTAAATTGTTGTGAGAAAAAATTGAAATCATAAGCAGTAAATTTTTAGCTCTAAATTATCTATGACTTAAAAGTTCTTATTTTATGGGTTAATCTAATAAACATGGTGGACAATTATGTTTTAAAGAAAATAAGTCGGGAACAAAATTAAAGGGAATGTGAAACTGTATATACAGTCTACAATAAAATATACAGAAACTTTTTTGTTGTTATGACAACCAGTTTCAATTGCTCCAACTGTTTGTTTTGTCCTTTACCATGGCCCAAAAAATTTTCCTGGATCAACAAAATATTTTTCTTTCTTTTCAAATGGCTAAAGAAAGTTATTTTTATTACCAAACGTTGATTTGGGCTCAATAATTATGGTTGGTTTTAATTGCAGGTCTTGCCAGGACTTTATGTTGGCAACTACAGAGATTCGAAAGATCAGCAACAACTGGAACGCCATCAGATTTCCCACATTGTTGCGATTCATGACAGTCCAAGACGATTACTGCCAGTAAGTATAAGATCTTACTTTTTTTTATAACTTTTAAGATTCTATTAATATGTACTTACATATGTAAGTTACACATATTTTACATATTTAGATCATTACAAAAATTTGTTTTTCTATTTACATAACACTTGATTAATCATTCTAGTTAGTTGTTTTTTTTTTTGTCATTATAATCGTTTGATTTTATTATAATTTTTAGGACAAGCACTACCTGTGTGTGATGGCTGCTGATGTTCCTGAACAAAATTTATCCCAATATTTTCCTGTTTGCAATGATTTTATACATGGAGCTAGATTACGTGATGGTAACGTATTAATACATTGTTTAGCTGGTATGTCGCGTTCAGTTACTGTATGTGTTGCTTATGTAATGACTGTGACGAATTTAAATTGGAAGGATGCTCTAAAAGTAGTGAGAGCAGGAAGAGCAGTAGCAAATCCAAATTTAGGTTTTCAGAATCAATTGCAAGAATTCGAAATGTATAAATTATCTGAAGTAAGTACTTTACATCTTTCATTATTGGCCAATGTTATAATATAGACAATTTTTTTTCAAAAAAAAAACAAAATTTCAAAGTTATTAAAATTTGCCTTATATATTACAGGAACGACGACGTTTACACGAACGTTTCCCAAGTAATGCCTTAGAAGAGTCGGACCGTGAAAAATGTATGATTGCATTAAATAGCTATGAAGAATTACTGCAAAATCGTGATATTTGTGAAGGAAACTGTAATCGTGGAGAAAAATGTCCAACAGGTGGTGTAGCATTTGTCATTGATTTTACTCGAGATAATTGGAAACATTTAAGTGACAAATCAGAAAAAGACAAGAAAAGTTGTGAAGAAGTTGATACATCTTTTAAAATTATAAAGGAGACTCAACATGATGATTCTAACAAAGATTATGTCCCAAATAAATGATTTAAAAATGTGCGAAATATACTAATTTTTAGTTTCGAGTTAGCTCATTAGCGAATATAAAGTCCGACAATTTTTTTAATTTTCCAGAACGGCGAGCATTTTAAAAAATTTAGCTTTGAAATTATATGTACATACTTACTTTTTCCACATATTTTAAATAAAAAAATTGTAAAGATAGAATTTTAAATGTAGGCAGTTGATTTAAGTTTGAAATTTCAGAAAAATAACTTACTTACAAGAGAATATTAGTAGGAAACGGACTTTATTTTAATTGTTCTTTTGAACTGCTACATATAAAAAAAAAATATTTGGTTTGGCTGGCAGAAAGGGTAATTAAAGATTAATTTTGTCTTTGTTTTAACAGTTTTGAGTTTAAGTTTCTTTGAAAGTAATCATGCAAAAATTGTTCGAAAATTCTCAAGCAATTTATGGTGTTGCACTCATTCCATTTCAAGCTAATAAAACTAAGCACTTCCAAGAGGGTTCAAAATTGTTAAATGAATTGGCAACATAAATATTATTGCCAATTTTGAAGTCATGGATTGTTTTTTAAAAGCGATTGTGGTATATATGCGAGTAGATATAAATGCGTGTATATATTTACGATATGTAAGTACAAACCAATATATGTGCCCACGTACATACATATCAAATTTGTCTCGAGTAAAACTTTATGAAGAAAGCCGTATTTGCAATACCTATATAAAACCTATATTTTAGGAGTGTGTCAAACCGACCAACCAAAAGGAATTTTTCGCCGAAGACCTAGCTCTGGATCGACACGCAGTAGTAGATCAAATAGTTTAAAACCTCCACCGAATGGTGCTCAATCATGCCCGTCATCACCAAAGCATATGCAACGTAAACCAATGCGGGGTGATTCAATTTCTAGTTCAACAACTCTTCAAATACCTGAAGACGATGTCTTAGAGATGAACAGCAGTGGTCCATCCTCTTTACCTGAGCAATCAATACGAAGCAGAGACAGACAACAAGAAGAACAAAGTAGACTTCAACAAAATGATAAACAAAAGAAACAGGATGACCAATCAGAAAGGAATTATTTAGGACTTCATCGTAGTGCAAGTACAGTCAGTAGTTCATCATTTTGTAGGCCACGTAGTAGTCCATCGGGATTATTTTCATATACGGGTTAATATTTTAGAATATTAAATTTTTGTTCTTTTAAAGTGTAATTGGATACTTTTATTATGTTAGGAAAAGCATCAGCAAATTCAACACCATCATCCGTCCATGGCTCACGTGTTGACATAACAAAGGACGAAAGAGGTTCCGCCATTTATTTAGGATGCAATGCACCTAAAGTTAATGGCTCATCATGGTCAATATCTTCGTCACGATCTTCGGGCGGCTCTCAACCAGCAACACCAAATCAAACCCCACCGGTAAGCCCGAGGAAAGCACCATTTTTCAGAAGGTAATAAATAAATATAATCGTAAAACAATACAGTAATACTGTATTGCTACAGAATTCTGAAATTATAATTCATAATTTGAATTAAGTTTGTATGTATTAGGATTACATTATTGCAATTTTCCGGATTTATTTACAATTAAAGATTTGCGTAAGGAAAATCAAAATACATAATGTAAAATATTAATTTTTAAAAGTTTACTTAAAATTTTGCAATATTCGTTTGTAAAATTTTGAAATATTAATTTTGTATGTTAGTTGAATGTGAAAATAATAATTTTTCATTTTATTTATTATTTTGTTTTAGGTCATCAAGTGTTGTTAAGAAAAACAGTAGGTAAAATTGTTTGAAAGGGCGAAGTTGTATCAATACTTCTTAATGGATCTTCAATGAATTTTCATTTACTGGATTTAACAATTCAAGATGTAATGAAGAAATAAACATAATACCCATATGTTTTTATTACAAAGATTTTAAATCGATATAATATTTTAATACATCATACAAAAACAGTTGCTAATACGTAATTCGCGTTATATTCATAAATTAAAATCCATTTATTTACATAAATACATAAAATTATCAAGAATATTTTATAGCCATATAGCAGATCAACACAAAATCTGTCCAAACAAAAATCATAGAAAAGGTTAATATCAAAATTTAATATACATTATACAAAATTGTTCACAAAAATTTATATATCAAAAGCAGTAGAAAAAAAAAATAAAATGAAAACTAAAATAAACCTATTTTTGAAATAAAAATATAAATCTGAAACATGCATAGTTATATCGTATTTTTGTAGAAAAAAAAATAATTACATACATACATGATTATTATAATAATTTAAATTAAATTTTAAAAAAAGACGAAATTTGTTACATAATAATAAAAAATTATATTACAATTTATTATGGAACAGAAAAATATTTTAGAAAAAAAGGAATATTTTAATTTATTTAAAATAAAAAAAATATAATCAAATATTTATATTTACATAACATATAAATTAATATTGAAATTCGAATCGAAAGCAATCCTAAATAGCTATTAATAAATGTGGATAGATTTAAAAGAAAAGTAGGAAATATACACCATATAAAGTGTACTATAAAAAATTTGTTGAAATTTATAAGTAAATTTAGTAGTTTAATATATTTACCAAAAAAATATTTATAAAAAATTGAAAGAAAAAAATAATTATTCAAAAATATTTTACAAAAAAGAAAAAAAATAAAGAAAAATCGCACGCTTTCAATTTCTTAAATATGTAAAGTATGTGTAGATATTTTTTTATAAAATGAAATATCCATATTTTACACATTGTACTGCAACAATAGAGTGTCTACCAAAATGCAGACCTAACATCAAACTAACTTATTTAGTAATTACAAGATTAATTACTGAATTAGTCAAGTTGATGTTGCATCTGTATTTTAGTAGACACCCATATATTGTGTACTGCCGTAAAATTAAGTTGTTTTTTTTTTTTATTATTTTAATGTAAATTTCAAGTAGTTATAAATTATAAATGAAATAAAAATTTTAAAAACAAAATATTAGATTCAAATCGGTGCTAGTACTTATAAAAATAAATGGTATTAACCATTGTTAATCATTTAAAATTTATATTTAACTTCATGTTTTTAAAACAAATTTAATCCGTGATTTTTCAAATTGGATTAATATTACTTGACTATAAAATTTTGTTAATACCGTATAAAAATTGAATTGTTTTGTAATTTTTTGAAATTGTTCTTCAAATTGGGTGTCATGGTACCTATACAAATTTATATTTAAAATAAATTACAACTGAAAGCTTTACAAATTCTCAAGAATAGTTTAAAATACATTTTAATTGTTTTCACTTATATACCTTTATTAAAGTACAATGTGTTTAAAATGGAATTTCAAAATTTAATCAATAAAAAATAATTATTAAAAATTCTATAATATTATATCGTTTATATATACAATGCATACATATATATATATATATATACTAGAAAAATATTAGATTTTAGATGAGTTGAAATTAGCAAAAATAATAAAACGTTCGCGAAATAAGATTAAATTTATTTATATTGTATTTTTATATGCTAAATGTCTGCTAAAAAATTTATTGCAAAATTTCACATTATATAATATCTATCACATCAATAATTCTTGAATTACATACATATATAAACTAAAATGTTAACAAAAAATAAAATTTAATCTTATTTCACATACATACCGTACATACATTACTCTGTATTTTATATAAAAAAGAAAAGATATTTATCTATATTTATTTATATATAAAATGAAAAAATAAAACTACTTTTTTATATTATTTTTATGCAAAGAAAAGAAAAAACTAAAAAATCTATTAAGACAATTATTTTACATATAAACTTACTTAAGATTTACACATTATGTATTTGTAAATACTAAAAGAACAAAAAAAAAAAAATACAAAATCATTTAGAAAATATTGTTCGGGCACAATTTCGTATTTTAAGTTTATCGTCTATAAATTAAAACTGAAAACTATTTCTATATTATAATAAAATTTAATTGAAAAAGAAAATCTATATTTTGTAATTAATTATAGAAAAGAATCTTAAATATTTTTATATTAAAAATATTCGAAATGAATTTTTTTTTATTTAACTTTTTTCTATTGAAAATTTATTTTTTTACAATTTTTTAATTTCTAACCTATGAATGCATAAATTTAACTACGTTAATGTTTTAAAAATAAATAAAATTTTATATTAAAGTACATTTAAGTTATAGAAAATGAAAAAAGCAAAATCTGTTCTGCCTTTGTAATTGCAGTAGCATTATATTAAGCCCAATTTAGCCATTGAAAATCATCCAAGTTAATCAATTGGGTGTAATTGTAATTTTGAAATCAGGGCATCACTTAAAATTATTTTTCTTTTCAGGAGCTTATAAGGAAAACCTTCTATATCATTTATAACCTATTATATCATTTCGAAAAAAATTCAAAATTACTATCTCGCTACTATCCATTACAAAAATATTGCAATAAAATTAGTTATATGAATTTATTATAGATTTATTCTGTTAATCGCAAAATATTGTTAAAATTTCAAAATTTTTTCTTATATTGAATAGAGGTTTTTCCCAATAAGCTGCTCATTTTGTAATTCACTTGATTATTATTTTGAAATTTAAATTAATTAATTTTATAGAAAATATTTTTTGTAATCTAAAATAATTATAAGTTTAATATCATTTCATAATGTAATAAATAATTATTATATACATATAATAATAATTTACATTGTATTACTTGTAATAATTATTATTTTATATATTTGACTTTGCTGTAAATTTTAATTGAGTTAAAATAATAGCTTTCGAGAAAAAGTTATTAATCACAATTAAGACCAAAAATTAATTTTCTTAATTTATAATTATTTATTCATAAAATTTTTACGATTTTTTAAAATTAATTTAGTAAATAAGTTTATTGTAGATGTAAGTAAATAAAAATTTAGAATTTCGTTTTAGAATATTGTACTTACAATATTATTGTTAACTTTAAGGAATTTAAAATTATAAATCTATATGGTATTTTCCAAAAGGTTATTTTACAAAAGTATTTTATGAATTATTTTATTTATATTTTTAGTTTTTATTTATATATGTATGAATGAAAATTGTTGGTTGGTTATTTAAATTGAATTGTTTTATGTATAGAGAATTCAAGTTGAATAAAAATAAATCAAAGATGCTATATTTTATGTAATTCTTTTGATTAATATTAGTAATTAAATTTATAAAAAAAAAAAAGAGGAAATATTTATTGGAAATTGAATTCATATTTAAATAAGTTTTCAAATTAATAATTAGCCTGTGTTAACTAAAATTAAAAAGCGTGAAATTATAAAAGTCCATTAAAAATTAGATTGGAAATTTAATTCAATTTATATTTTAAAAGTTTTCAAGTTTAAATGAAAAATAAAAATGTACAACGAAATTATTTTATTTTAATGAAATTTTAGCAAATTCTTTTGTAATTTTCTATTATTTAATTTTATTATATTTTATTTTGGATTTTACTCATAAATTAATACACTATATCATTTAATTATAATTATGATTAAATTATAAATATAAAAGGCTGTTTACCAAAAGGCGGATCTAACGTCAAGTTGACTTTTAATTATACAATTTCAATTATTGAAAAAACTATGTTAGATCTGTATTTTCGTAGACAACCATAGTATCGGATAAGTAATATAATTTAATAATAATAACCAATAATATTTTTAAATATGAAATTTTTTAGTCTTAAAGCCAATAACCATTGCAATATGAAAATGTTATAATTACTTTTAATTAAAAACAAATATTGTTTAAAATTTTTATTTTCAATGATTCTTATTATTAATTAATTTCTTTAACTTTGTTTAAAAAATATTGAATTTAATTATGTAAATGGCATATAAAATATTTGTTTCGTATTGTCATAAACTAGTAAACCATAGTTGGTTTTCTAAAAGAAATTCAATTATATAATCTCAAATCTGTATTAATTAACTATCGTACCACCGTCTTATTATAATAACAATATTTAAAAAATTAAATAACAAAATAACATTTGTACCTGAAAACTCTTGAAATCTTAAAAAACATAAAATTCTTAAAAAAACTACAATTTATTATTTTTTATATGAAAACAAAATTCTAGTTTCAGCTTGTATTTTTATGTTATTAATGTAATATTAAAATACTAAATTATTTAAAAATCAGAGAAACTATTTTAAAAATTTTTAAATAGTAAACTTTATACAAAATTAAATTTTATATTTAACATTTTAAAATTCAATTGTTATTGGCGATTGATTGACTAAAATAATTCAAATATTCAAATAATAATATAAATTTATAAAGAATATTATTTAATTTTTCATATTTTATAATTCAAATTTAAATTATTAAAAAATTTAAGATATAAATAAAATATACAATAAATATTAAAAAATAATATATATATGTATATATATATATATAATCTGGGAAATTGTTAGAAAATAATAAAATCTAATAAAATTATTTTGTAAGAATTTTATATTTGTAATGTATATTCTATCTGCTATATTTATAAATATATATTTATAAACTTTCCTGAATTTAATTAGCAAAAAAAAAAAATACACAATTTCATAAAATATGTTTATATACATATATACCTATTAAATAGAAAAAAGTCTTATATATTCTTATATGAAAATTGATTTTAATTTTAAGTTCCAATCACTCTTAATATTAAGCATATTAATTATATATTACGCTAAATTTATAAGACAAACCTGTAGAATAATTTAAGAATTTAGAGAAAAAAAAAAAAGAAAAAATCCTAGGCTGGTCCTAAAATATTTTTCGTTTTCTAATTATTTTTTTTTTTCATTTTTAATATTATAAAATTGTTAAAAATTAGAATATTATTGTTAAAAAGAAAACAAAAAGAGAAAATTTAATAATATTAGCCTACAATCATGCACAAATAACATTAAACATTTAAAATTCTATTCATAATATTACAAAACAAAAAAAAATAATTATGAATTTTTTTTCCTTGCCCCTCAAGCTTATAATAAACAATTTAAGAAAAATTTATTTTTTGTAAATTTCAAGTTGAAAATAAGCAAATTTCAAAATTATTCGATTTAAAATTAGCTTTGAAATTGAACAAGCTTTTAGCTGCCAAAACAAAGAAAAGAAAAAGAAAAAACAGTTCCTATATAAATGTGGAAAATATTAGTCCCTTAAATTGTTGATTTCTTAAAAAAATATAAGAGCTACCCTACACAGACATTGTTTCAACATTACAATTAAAAATTATTCATTGAATTGTATTTATTTTTTTAATGAAAAAAACATATAAAGTGTAATCGATAATGTAAAATTCGCATTGAATTCTTTTGTATCTCTTAATCCAAATTGCTGTTTTGAAAAGCATTGTCAACAGATGTCTACACTTGTAGTATAAGCGACATTGCAAAAAACAAATTTGACGTAATTAATAATGTAAATTGTCTGTCATTTACATGGATGTCCTATGTGAAGTGAATAAGTAATTTTATTTAATGGAATTTTATTCTAGAAATCAAATATAATTTGTTTGCTAAAGTAGTCGTCTACTGGTTACATGCGAAAGTTGTGTCCGAAAATTGATATGCAAAAAAGTTTATTTTTAAGGATATATTGTTGATTTCAGATTGGTGACCGTCAGATGCGATTATTGTCGATCGGCATTTTGTCATTATCGATTACACCTATATAATTCCCACAATATTCTCAAATTCAGTTGTTATAAAAAGCACTTCATTAACTAAGCACTAATTTTTGCAAATTAAATGCATAATAAATCGTTTATGCTTCAAAAATGCTATAATGCAACGTTTTCAATGCATGAATTCAAGCAAGGGTAAACATATATATATGTATTAACAGAACATGTGCCGGATCACATCTTTTATTTTTCAATATTATTGTTTAATATTCTTAAATAAATTCCAATTTCAACTTTAAGACTTTAAGAAAAATTTATAAGGAATCAAAGAAATTTGCTTATTTCTCACTTGAAATTAATCAAAAACAAAATTTAAATAGAAAAAAATTAAAAAAATAAAATATCAAAAACTCAATTTTCCTTCTTAACGAAATTCATAATACCTACTTTTACTTATTATATGCTTTGTGTGTGAAAATTTTTGCCTTTTTACAAAGTGAAGCTCACAACAAAATAAAATTAAAAAAAAAAAATTGTTATAAATTTGAAAATTAATTAATTTACAACAAAAAAAAAGAGAGAATAAAACAAAAAATATTGTTAAATAAATGAAAAAAAGAAAAAATTTTTGCATTAAAATTTCTAAATTTTTTACAAGATAATGAAATCATAAGAATTTCATAAAAAAAAGAAATGGAATGAATAAATATGTAAGCGCAATAATTGCAGCATAAAATGCATAATTTTAAAATATTTGTTAATATTTTGTGCAAAACTAAATATGTAAAATGCTTAAAAGTCTGGACTGACTTATTGACTATGTTATTTAAACTGATTAATCAAGTGATGGCATCACAAACTCTTAGACTATGGAGCAGCATTACTACTAATTCTCCCTAGAAGATTTTTCCTGGAACTGATTCTGGACAATATGGAATATATTAACAAAATTTTCTACTGCAAAGCTCCATAATTCATTGCAATGACATTTCTTTACAATTCAAAGTCATCCATTCAAAAAATTTTATCTACATTTTAGCAAAATTTCAAGTTTGTTTGAAATTTTAGGCTTTGTACGTGATTAAATTAATTTTAGGGATTCTCTACTAATATTTTGGGCTATTGGGCTATTATTCAGCCTAAAGCTCTCTTTCAACATTTACTTGCTTAAATTTTCCAATCAGTTTTCAATAAATGTGATCTTTCACGCAATATAATAATGGGATTTAATCTGAATGTCGAACTACTAAGTGTAACTTGAGATTTATCGTAAAAGTTTCAACAACTTTTTTATAGACACGAATCATTTGTATAAATTGGTTTGTGTTTACAATAATAATATCGAGTTTTTTCCAGTAATTTGTCTCTATCACTTATAGTGGTTCAATACTCAGAATAAGCCTCAATATCTATTAACTTGATTTCTTGTAATTTCCTGTGTAAGATGGCATTTCGAGTGCGAGTTGGGAGGTGTGGATGAAAGTTGTATATTTTTATTGTTAATATTTCTTTTATAAATTAGAGAATTCCAAATATAATAAATGTATACCTACGTTTTTTTATTACGCACCTATAGCTGAAATTGTTATTATTTTGTATTTTATAAAGCAATTATTGAAAAATTTATATAATATATATATATACAGATAATGAAAAGAGAGAGAGAGAGAGAGTGTGTTACATATTTAAAATTTATATACACAGCATATTATATACACATTGTAAATTTATAAGCCATTTCCTTTGAGTTAAAATACAAGAAAAAAAATAAAAAAAAAAATATTAAAAAAAAAAATTTGTTAAAATTGAAAATAAAGAGCAAAAATTTTTATTTCTAATATCCGATTTTGATATTTTTGTTTTTCATTTTAAAGCCTATAAAATGACATTGATATACAAATTATTCGTCCACGAAGAAATTGTGAAATAAAGTATAATATTAACAGTGCTGTCCAATAAACTTATGGACTCCGAAGTTTAAACTCTGTGTACTTTGCTGTAAACTGTAGATATTTTCAAACGAATTACGTTGCACCCCGACCACGTATAAAGATCTATTATTTTCTCCATTTCAGTGCAATGCACGCCCTACAGTATTCGCTCGAGATCTACTTTCCTGATGAAGTCGATACTCGGAATGAACCTTGCGAGCCCCGGAAGATTGCAATTCCGTCGCCGTGAGCTGTATACATTAGTGTTCAATTAATTAATATTGTTTTTAATAATTATTACTGATATTACTACCAAAATTACATAAAAGTGGTGTGAATTTGAACTTTCCAGCCGTTCAGCCGTCCAATAATTCGGCTTACATTAAAAAAGTTCGAAATTTATGGTTATTGTTAAAGCTGATTTAAATTTATTTAACAAAAAATTTTGTACTTTCTCGAAATTAACTGAACTATGTACTTACTGTGTAACAATGACTCATATGGGGATGTCTACTAAAATGCAGATTTAACGTCAATTTGACTTAATTAGCAATACAATTGCCGTTAGATCCACATCTTTGTAAATACCCTATATTTTACATACATTATGTATGTTTTGAAAAATTTGAATATTCTATAGAAGTCTAGTAGACTATCTAGCAATGTACGAACCTAATACTAATTTAAAATTCCATTAAAACATTAATATTGTAAAAAGAATTTTGCTATATTATTTGCTATTCGTTTCAACACCATCTGGTGTATAAATTTGCAAATTTAATTATGTAAAATTCATTTTAAATTATTTTAATTTTTTTTTTCTTTTTCACATATGAAATGCCCAATTAAAATATTTACATTTTAATTCAAATTTACATTCGGTATAATTATGTTTTCATTTTACCTTTTAATTTTCCAAAAAGAAATTTAATATTATCAATTTTATTTTGACTTTTGTTGAATAAAGTGTTACTTAAATATTAAGGCCTTCTTTCTTAAATAAAAAAATTTAAAAGTGAAGCGAATTATTTTCAATATGAAATCTGAAATAGCTGATTTTTATGCTGGGAAAAAAGTTTTAATAACTGGTGCTAGTGGATTTATTGGAAAAGTTGTTTTAGAAAAATTATTAAGAGCATGTCCAGATATATCACAAGTTTATTTATTTTTAAGACCGAAACGTAATAAATCATCAGAGGAAAGATTACAGAAAATATTAGAAAATTCTGTAAGTATAAAAAATATTGTACATTTAAGTTTAATTTAAAAAAAAAAAATTGGGAATAAGTTTACGTTAAATAAAAGTGAACATCGTAACGTAAAATGTAAATCTAACGTCAAATTGTCTTATTCAGCAATATATTTTAAATTGCTGAATAATATAGAGGAATATTACAAAAGATATTCAATAATTTCTTCTGGATTACAAAATGTTGCAAATACATTTCAAAATTGCAAAAATACGGTATTAATCTTAACATAACAAAAACATCAGCTCTGGTATTAATACACGATCAATATTTTGAATTATATTTGCTGAACTATTTATCAATTCAGTGTTAATTCAATTTTGAATCACTGTTATACTCAAAGTGAAAATTTGTTCTCTGCATTTTCTTCTAAATATAAACAGTCATTGACTTCTTGAATTTCTAAATTCTTATTGACAATTCAAGTTATTGACAATATTTTGTTGTATTATGTTATGCTATGTATGAATTTAATCAGCACCTCGATTCCCGCACCAGATCATTATAACTCAAGATTCAGGTTCCCGATAAATTTTAACAGGCCCGTCATGCACAACGACTCATGAGAATCCAAGTCCAAGGCCTCGAGAAATCTATATCTAAAGCGGGCCATTCCATCACTCTCAAATAGGACATGAGTGGAGTCCTCCGTGATCCGGTCGCAGAATTTCTCATTGCTGCGTATTTGATTTGCCAATTTTTTGTAAATATAAGTTAAGGGGTCCATGCCCAGTAAAAAGTCACGATAGAACCCTCAGTGAAGAGCGGTTCTGCCTTACAATGTCAGAAATACCCGCGATCCGTCAACGAAAAAAGTCATTGGATCGCGACAGCCCTACATGGGAGCGCCACAGCTCCGAAGCACACCTTACCACCCAGGCAGCCCCGACCTGGTCAAGACATCTCATATAACGGACCAGGCCCGATGAAGGAAGCAATTGCGTGCAACTTCGCCAGTTTATCTGAGATATACGACTATATCTTCTTATTCGGAGATTAAATTTACCAAAATTCAAATTTTTGGCAAGTCTTTTTGAAATCTCAAAAGTTTTGTCTAGTGGCGAAGGCCTTTCTTATAGCAGTGCACTTTGTTACGAGACACCCTATATAATAAGTATTTCATTCAGTTTTGGAAACAATTTTGATAATATGATCAATTACGTAATGTAAGGTGGTTGAACCATTTAATTTAAAGAAGAAAAAGAAAAATCAAAATTTCGATTTGACCTTTGGGATACACCATATGTTCTGGTGTCTCAAAGGTCTAGAATATTTTAAATAAATTAAAAACGCAATTTATTATGAAATTTCAAAATAAAAAATATTTTAAAGTGAAATTTTCAATTCAAATTGAATAAATTTTAATGGCTATTTGATCTTTGTATTCTTTGTTTCTATTTACAATTCGATTCTTGTGACATTTTAGGATTTTGACTCCACAATTGAAATTTAATGTTTCTACTAATCGTCTACTATCCTACCTTTAGCACTCTAATGAGACTGTTACTACTTTTTGTAATTTATTTGTATTTAAAATTATTTTATAGCTTTTCAATATAATTAGAGAAAAAGATCCTGATCAATTGAAAAAAGTACGTTTAATTGAAGCTGAATTAAAGAAAGCATCGTTAGAACTAAAACCAGAAGATGAAGAATTATTAATAAATAATTGTCAGCTAGTGTTTCATGTTGCAGCAAGCGTTCAATTTGATAAACATTTGCATGATATTAGTGAAACAAATATTTATGGGCTAAAATTAATGTTGGATTTAGCAAAACAAATGGAACATCTTGAAGCTTTTATATTTTGTTCAACAGCATTTTGTCAATATAAGGATATTGCTTTGGAGGAGAAAGGTTATGAACCACCAGTAACATTTGAAAATTTGGATAAAATTTTAAGTAATTTCAGTGAAGATAGTTTAACACCAATAGAAAAAAAGTAAATTAAATTTTTAATTTAGTATGGTGGAAAATATGAAAAGATGACCAAAAAATATTTTAGATTTTTAGGATTACATGAAAATACATATGCATTTTCAAAAGCAATTGCTGAAAGTATTGTAGCTGAATATTCAAATTATTTTCCAATTGCAATTGGTAGACCAAGTATTGTTTGTAATATAACACATGATCCTTTACCAGGTTGGGTTGAAAGTTTAAATGGTTTCAATGGATTTATTGTTGTTGCTGGTTTTGGTATTTTAAAAGTTGTACCTGGTAATCAAGATTTACCACGTTGTGTTGTACCAGCTGATATTGTATCAAATGGTTTAATTATAATTGGATGGCAAATAGCAAAATCTCGGTCAGTTTATTATTCTTTATTAATTTTGAATATAATTTAATTTAATATTTTTTTTTTAATATTTTTGAAGATCGAACAAGATTCAATATTTTAATTTAGCTGAAGATATTGAATCAGCAAAACAAAATACTTATCGTGTTATAGATCACAGAGGTATAAATTTATAATTCTAATAATATTGGTGAAGCCCAAATAATTTTGTCTTATGATATTTTAGGATACAAAGCTGCTGGAGAATATCCATTTGAAATACAAGTTGCACCATTCGGTTATCATATAATAGAAAATAATTTTATTGCATGGCTAGCAGTATTATGGTATCATCTTTTATATGGAATGGTTTTAGATGCTTTACTCTATATATTTCGTAGAAAAACAATGTATGTTAAGTACCTTGCTCCATCCATTCTTGATGCACATGTATCTTTTTTAAATAAATTTTAAATTTTAGGGTGTTAGCAGTACATAGAAAAGTTCAATATAATATGGAAATTATACAATATTATATAAAAAATCCATTTGTATTTTTAACACCGAAATTTAAGGAATTAAAAACTGTCTTGAATGATGTTGATGCAAAAACTTTTCCAATTTCTCCAGAAGAGGTACGTACTTATTTCTATGTAGCGTAGGTTATTGTTGAAAACAAAGAAATATTTAATGAATATTTTTATTATTAGGGTCTAACAATGGAAAGTTGGATGAGTGGTTATCTTGGATTTAGAACGTATGTTTTAAAACAAGATCCAAAAACTATTCCAAGATCAAAAAAATTGGCAAAAATTCTATTTTGGATTAGTACAATATTTAAGCTACTATTGGCATATTTTATATTTAAATTAATTTATAAAACTTTTTTTTAAAAATTTATTTTAAAAATAATAAGTGAAAATATTTTTAAAAAATTATACATACTTGAATTATACAGGAAGGTAGATTAATAAAATGTCTCGTAAAATATGAAATATAATTTTTAAGTGTATGGTAAAAGAATGTTTTAATAATAAAAAAAAGTTGAGGGCAAAATCAAGCCAATGGTTTATAGCAAAATATTTCTCTTAACCAATTAATGTTATTAGAAATTATTTGGAAAAAAATCGTCCTAACTAAATTCACTTTACCTCTCCGTCCATTCTCACATCCATTTACAAATGTTTGAGATAAAAAATTCATTAGCAAATAAAATTTTTATCGCTTTAAAGATGACATTTTCCCCCTAAATCTTCCTAAAAATGCCAGTTTGTGACGTTCTTAACAAATATAACAAAAAATATGTGAGCACATACTTCATTTAATTAAAAAAAAATTTTTTTTTAAGTTGCCACCTCTGAAATTTAGCAAAGGAGCTTTTCATAATTGTCAACGATTTGACGATCATGTGTTGATTATTTTTGTCATTCAGGTCCAAATCTTCGATTGTTGTAATTATTTGCACATGTCATTGATCAGAATGAAAATTAAAGTGACACTGTTTGACTTCACACCTAATTTTCGCCACTAAAATATATTATGAAACAACATATTTTTATTGAAAACATTAGTCATTTAAATACCCTGATTTTGTCAATTTTTATTAACATAAAATAGTTTGATATCTTGCAGTAACAACAAAAAATTGCAGCGTTGCAATGACTTTTGCAAAATTTTTTACAATTGTTAAATTATGAAATCATGATTGAAGCGTCAAATGATTATGAAAAGTTATTTTTGACGGACGTCTAATCGATGACAATTACGAAAAGTAAAAAAATTTCGAATTTTTTACAAGTTATTTTCTAAAACTGATAGTTCAACTTTTGAGAGCTTGGGAATTACAATAGACGAATAAAAAACAAACAGATAATTTTTTTAGATTTAAAATTTTTACGATTCGCCGCTTCAACAAAAAATTTAGTCAATATTCTTGAAATGGTCAATAAATTTTTTAATCATACTGATATTATTTGTCAATACTACAAATAATTTCAAAATTAAAATTTTATTTTTTTCTTTCAATATTTTTTTTATTTCAGTTTGCATATATATGTATTTAGACTACAATAATAATTTATAATGTCATCTCAATAAGTATACACACACACGTACATAACAAACTTTTTAAAAACATGTAAATAATTTAATTATGTTTGAATTTTTTTTTTCTATTTTAACAATATAAATTTATTTGACTTAAGCACTAGCCTTAACTAGTTTATAAACATAAATTTTTTCTTTTTAAATTAAGTAAATACATAAGACGCCTACTAAAATGTAAACTTAACGTCAAATTGACTTATTCAATTGATTGCTGAATAAGTTAAATTGACGTTAGATCTGCATTTTGGTAGACTCCCATAATTTCAAATATTATTTTGAGCTTAAAGCTTATTCTTTGACATAAATAGTACTATTTAAATTCTAATTAAATAATAAAATAAATTTTGGTCTTTGACCTTAAAAATAATTAATTTACTTACAAAAAAACATCACATCAAAAAAAAAAAAAAAATTAAAAATTTTATTTATGTATGTCTAAAAATCAATGAAATATTAATAAATGAAAAAAATATATTTTTTATACTGAATTTTATTTCACAAATGACAATAAACCTCAGAATATAACAGTTGATTGTGAATGTGTGTAGTAATACTAGCAATTTACACAATATGAATGTCATTCAACTGACAACAATTGAATATTTTGATTTTCTTCCGTCGTATAGTAGGAATTAAAATTTAGGGTGGAAATTGGTCATAGTTGGTAGAGGTTCGAACTCATTTGTTAAATAAAATCTGATTTACTCGTATATGCTTTAATTTTTAATGTTATTTAAAACTAACGACAATAAATAAAATTATAACACTTACACATTCACAAATATACAAAAAAAAAAACAAGCTAGATTTTTTTTATAACTTACATATACAATTATTTTAAATATAATTTACATTAATTTTATTATTATATATTAGATTTTTTGTTCTCAGTTTGGCTATAAATTCACAATAAATTTAAGTTTCGACATGATTTAATAGTAAAGGTGTAGTAACATTTGGATATGAGCTTGGTCGTCTTTGATTTCTAATACAAGTTTCATCAATTGTTGGACATGATGCTGTTACATCTTCATATCCTGATATTGAGCCTCCACTTGATTTTCTTGGACTAGTTTCAGAATTACCTTCCAGGAGAGCATCTTCGCTAAAATACATAATAAGAAAAAACAAAAGTGCATATGCATATGTATGGTTTTGATTGCGCATTAATATTTTGTTTTTTTTTTGTACAGTTTTCTGTTTTAGTAAAATTTTGAATTTATTGATTTAAGTGTCAAATGCGATTGTCATTATTCATTATTCACAATGTTAAGCTAATTTTAGTAATTAAAAGTTATTTTTATAATAATTTTATAAAATAAATGATCAATATTATTTAAAAAATATTTCGAACCGTACCGAAAAAAAAAATTATGTTTTAAAATTATTGCAAAATAAAAGCAAAAGCCGCGTAAATAGCTATTTTTATTTACAGTTATTGTTTCTGTTTTGCTGCAAAATTGCTTTAATGCTCTCTTAAAAATTTTCCTTAACACCATAACAAAGTTCAGTTTTTAAGTACTATGAAAGGCTGATTTTATTAAAGGCTGGTTCTATTTGATTTTTTTTTAAATTAATTGGTAAATCTTGCTGTGTGAACCAGCAAGTGGTGCCTGCTAATATTAAACACTAATAAAAATTGTAAGCATGGACCGAAATGGATGTAAAGACGCAAAGGCGCAATAACTAAACCTCTATAAATCAGGAAGCTGCAGAGTATTCGAAAGTTCCACAATATAATTTTTACAGAATTAAAATTTTTTTATTACATTTCGTAAAGAAAAGGAAACTATATAGCAGCAGCTATTTCATTGCCAACTCAAGAGAAGAACGGTTATAACACGCTTTTATCTAGTTGAAAAACAAAAAATATTGAGCTGCTATTTAATAGAAAATCAAACTGCGACATTGCTGAAGAACTGAAGCTGAACCAAATATCCGCAGGATACTAAAAGACTGTAGTGGCAATGTAGAATGTTCTCCAAACTGATAGATTATGCCAGAACAATAATCACGTTAATTTGAAAGAGCGAAACTGATACCCGATTTGGATATTTTGTTTGGGAGTATAAATTTTGAGGCTTAATACTACATTGTTAATAGTGGGCTTTCGTCTGTGTTTTGTGGAGAAAACTGAAGAATTTAGGAATACCCAATGCATACACTGCAACGAAACCTGTGGCCAAACCCATTCGACCTATCATAAAGTATTCCACTCACCGCACAGAAAAAAAAATTAATTTTTCGAGAAACTGCTGTGGAAACCACATTTTTGTTAAATTTCTAAATTAATTCTATTTTATTTCTAAAATTCTGCATAAGTCACCTTTTTCAAATTCTTGTTTTTCATCAAAAACTTCATAAAAAACTTAAGGTATTGCACAAAATAGCAAATTGATTCCCAAAACTATCTGAGTAAATAATTTAATTTGAGGATCACAGGGAATTTTTTATCACATTGTTTGAATTTGTTAATAATTTATTATACTTCTTAAATTAAGCAATTAAAATATAATAGCAGCGTTAGTCAATGCGTATAAGTTGCGTATTTAAGCTAAAAAAAAAAACAAAAAAAAATTAAGCAAAAATGAAACGAAAAAAAAAGAAAAAAAAAAATGATATCAAATTATATTTCGAATTCCACATTAATCTTAAAAGTGGTAAGAATATTCTCATACCTATGGTAGCGATGATGTTCCAGAAGACTTCCAGTTGCAAACCTTAACTTTTTCGGTGATTCTAAACTAGATGATCGTGTTAAAGTACTTCTTGGAATGTTCTTATTTTTTAATGATGATCTGATACCAGTCTCTGGTGGCAAGAGATTATTTTGTTGAAAAATACCATACTGTTGATTACGAGCACAGTATGCTTTTGAGCCTCTTCGTTGACCACGTTCATAAGTTCGACGTGCTCGATAGTCTTCATCTTCTCCACATAACCAATACGTTTTTTGTTCACCTTTACCTTTCATTGCTATTAGACCCCGTTCCTTAAAAACAAACAAATTTTTAATAAATTGGAATTGCTTCGGAAATTCTATATTTTTACCTCTAATGTATAACCCCCTAATTTATCTAATAAAGCTTTACATTGCATACTACAGTGTATTTTTAATGGTAAACCAGTTGATTCCATTCTTGATGATGTATTAACTGTATCACCAAATAAACAATATCTTGGCATTTTCAAACCAACAACACCAGTACAAACAGGACCTGAATGTATACCAATTCTTAATAGAAGTTTTTCATTAGGTCTATGTCTTATTTTAAATTCTGATATAGCACCAAGTAAATGTAATGACATAGATGCAATTTCAGCTGCATGTAAATCACCATTACGTATTGGTAGTCCAGATACAACCATATATGCATCACCAATTGTTTCAACTTTATAAACATCATAATTTCCAATTATTGAATCAAAACATGTATATAAATCATTTAGAAAATCTACAACTTGTAATGGAGCACTTTCAGCTGACATTGATGTAAATCCAACAATATCACTAAAATATATTGTAACCATATCATAACTTTCTGGATCAACTTTATTTCCCTTTTTCAATTGTTCAGCAACTGGTCTTGGTAACATTTCTAATAGTAGAGCTTCAGTCTTCTTTTTCTCTTCTTGTAATTGATCGGTACGTTCATCAACTAATGCTTCTAAATTATTGGCATATTTTTCCATCATTGACATCATATTATCAAATATATTCGGTTTCATTCCTTTACGTAATGGACGTAAACGTGTTCGTATCGTTTTAAAATCAGGACGATCCTCTGGTCTTTCTTGCCAACATTCTTTTAAACATTCTCGTACACAATCAAACGACGTTTCTAATGGTTGCAGTGATGGTCTACAAAATATTTTAATGATATTTTCATAAGAAAATTTTTAAAACACATTTTTCACCTATATGGTGCTCCTAATTCTGGTGGTTGCAAAACTTTTTTAAGACATTCCATTGTTTGTAAACCAGTTTCTCCAAATGGACCATGTCTAGTATGCATTTCATATAAAATAATTCCAAATGAATACGAATCACCTTTTTGTGTTCCAGGAACTAATGATGGCGGTCCAAGACGTAATAATTCTGGAGCTCTATATAACAATTCTGGGTATTTTAAATTAAATTAATTAAGAATATTTTATTTTGACATTGTAAAATAAATTTAAATAATTACTTGAACATTTGACTACCATATTTTGGTTGTCATAAACATCATCAGCTCCTTTTTTAAATGCAAATAAACCAAAATCACTTATTTTTACCACCCATCTTGAATCAATCAAACAATTCGATGTACATAATGCTCCATGATATCTTATGGGGGATTCATGTAAATAAATGACCCCCTGTTATGCATGTAAAGAGAATTTCAATGTTTTTATTAAATGAGTGTAAATATAAAATTGAGTAGGATGTGAATCAAAAGGAAAATATTAGTGTTGTCGTGTTTTTTCAAAAGTAGATTGATAATCATGATAATCAGTTGAGACTGAAAAAAGGCAAATAATTTGATACAATATTGTACAAAGAACTGTTAATGATAACTTGCAATATACGTGTGGCGTAATTCTTCACAGCCACACACACTCTGACAAGATGTATAAGATAAAACAGTTAAAGGAAAATGTGCTATACGTTTCAAACGACATTTCTATTCCCATATACGACAGAATGCTAAAGCATTTCATTAAGCTCCAGTTTTTCAATACCTAATAATTTAATAGACACACGACAACACTTCTTATTATTTATTCAATGGAAGAAATACTTCATTTGTGTTTATTGTTGAATAATGGAAGAGAAAACAAACTTGATTAATACATGAATTGTGAATTATTTACTATTCATGAATGATTAATAAAAACACGAAAATTATACTCACCCTAATAATATCAGCTACCATTGATGCTATAAACATGTTATCCAATTTAACATCCTCATTCTCAAGAATATCCTACACAAGAGTTCAGAGTTTGTATCAAAAACATATTGATTAATAAATAACACAAAAATTCTTTCATTAATCATAATTTCATATGAATAATATAACACTTACTTTGAGGCTTCCTCTTGTACAATATTCACTAATAATACAAATATTTGGTGGATCTGTACATGCTCCAATAAAAGCGCATATATTATCATGTCGGGAATCTCTCAACTATTTTGGTTGTAAAATTTTAAAGAGTATATCGATAAGTGAGTGCCACATTTAAGTACCACAACGCCACAAAATTCGATATTCATCGATTTCAAAATTAGAAAATAAAATTAATAAGAATAAGTCCAAGTCTTATCGTAATTAATTTTCTTTCTTACCAATTTTAATTCCTTTTTCATTTCTCTCGTTATATCAATACTTTTTTTTGGAACTTTCTTAATTGCATACAATTGATTTTTATATAGACCAATTGGTGTATAAATTGTTGAATAACGAAAATCAGCATCTGGATTTGAACTTAAACTAACTTGACTAGTTCGTATTAGTGGATGTGTTGACTAAAAATACAAATCATAAATTAATACTATTAATATAGCTGTACGATTCTATACTGAGTGTACGTTACCCTAGTTAACTTTTGACCAGTTTGTTCTTCTTTTTCATGCATTTGAATTTCACGAAAATCAATTTTCCATAATAGACTATCTAATTCTTGTTCATAACGCCAATTACGATATAATACCAATGATATTATACCTAAAAGTAATAATGCTCCACCAGCAATACCAGCAGATATTTCACCAGTATAACCTAAAAATAAAAATAGGAAATATTTTAGTTTTCATATTCTGAGGTAACCAAAGAAATAAGGCACACATATTTAATTTATATATTGGTAAGGTTATTGGTATTTAATGCACATTGTTTTGCATTGATCTGTAAAAGGCTCAAGAACTATTGAACTGAATTTTGCGCCCTCCTTCTCTTTTGTACACGGGTCATTACCACACCGTATGGAAGGTATGCCACGCATTTAATAATGCTTTTATAATCTACTTTCTTCCGGTTACCAGTTAAAAGGAAACTAATAATATTTTCTGTTTCACGAATGTAGAAAACAATTTTCTATTTTGCCTGCACAACTGCTTTTAATCGAATCGGATGAATTGAAATATTTTGCAACGATAATGGAAATAAAATTTGCATATTTTACAGGTACCTAATATAGGAAAATGTTTTAAGGATTATATTGTAGTTCAAGCAACGTACATTTTGAAATTTGCATATAGAATCGTAAATGTAAATAGATTCTGGTATGGAAATTTTAATGTGTTTATTTGGATTATAGATGATGTATTTTAAAATTGAAAATATTTTAAAATTTTTACGTATTTGCATAACAATTACACAAGGTGTACGTATGTCTTGTAAAGGATTTAGTTTTATATAGAGGCTATAACAACAACTAAAAATTTCAATTTTTCCATCACTTAAAAAGTGGCCTGAAAGCAAGTTTAATTGAACAATGTTCTCTCAATATTTTTAAATCAATTCAGCATATTGTTAATGAACATCTGGCAACACGTACTTATATAAAGTAAAACGTAATTGCTTAGAATATTTTAAATATTTTGAATACGGAACATCATAGGCTCGTCACCTATCTAGGAAAATTCAATGGTGCAAGAAACTGGTTCATAGTTATTTAGGATATTATGTATCAGTCCTATGCTCCTCCCAGCTTCGCTCCTGATTAAACACCAGACTATACAAAAAATTTTAAATATTTTGAATATCATTCAATACCTTCAATAATATAAGAATAAAAATTATAATACCTTAAATGAACTATATTTGTAACCAAATATATTTTATAAAAATACTACTTACTCATACCTTAATGGTATACCAAATTATAACAGGCTATAATACATCTTGAAATTATGTGAGTATTTTTATAAACAAATGTGTGAGAAAGAAAGTAATTCTTGCAAGATTTAAAGGACATGATAATTTTAAATAAGATTTTAAATACTTGTACGGATGTATGTTCGAAGGATGTTATAAATTTGGCATTCTGTTTGTAAATCTTAAAGTTAATCTTCTATTACCCGTATATTACCCACCAGTTTACCCATATATGTTTTTAATCAGCGCTGAAATTCTGAGCCGATTTGACTGTATCTATATGAATTCATCATAATTGAGATACTAAAATGGTTTCTTATATAGTAAATGCCAGAACGCTATGTGTATTAGATGCGGTCGAGGCAGTAGTTCAGATATCTACCATACAACTTTAAAAGCTATTAGGCTCAGAAACAATAAAATCTACAGCAAATGAAATTTTATACAAGCAGATATTTTATTATATTATTTAGGGCTGTTACATTTGATAAAACTAGTTAAAATTTCTTAACACGTATAATATAATATGGAAACTATTGAAACTATATAATGGGTATCTCAGGGTTGACACGGTCAACTCTACCTTTTCTCATTTATAACTAGAAATAAGTTTATTTCCTTTGGTAATAAATTTGAGGGTATAGTAAATAAAATAAATTTTGAATATTTTTGACACACAATATTGCCATTTTGATTTTTAAGGGGAATTAATTGTGTTAAATTTTAATATTGGAAAGTTTTCAAAAGAGAAAAATGGTAGCGATTACCCTAAAAATTCACAATTTAATAAAAATTTTAAAATTTAAAAATAATTTTATTCTGAAAATAAATTTTTATTAGAATCAAAAAATTTTTATCGATCAAATCATATACTCAAATAATTATGAAAAATTTTACACGATTCAATTGGTTTTCAGTGAAAAATTCTCACATTTTAAGTGGAAAAAATAATTCTTGAATTTATTTTTGCCAGCATTTTTAACAAAGAGAATGGAATCTTTCCGTTTTCACATTGAAATCCCAAATAAAATTAAAATTTAAATTTGTTACACATAAAATTTAATAAAAAAATATTTTACCCCAAAACAAATAAAAGGGTTCAGATTTGCTGTTCCTGTAACATCCTTTTATTTTTATTTTTTATTGTAATGATAAACATTGCGTATATAATATTAGCTTCCATTAAAGTATTCAAAAACAAAATTCCGAAAAAAAAAAATTTATTTATAAATTTTGCCTATTCCATTAAACATAAAATATTTCTATGTTAAGTTGATTGCAAACCCAAATAAAAGGGTTAAATTGAAAAATATACAAATTTTTTTTTTCTTATTCTAATTCGATTGTATGGCGTCTTGGATACCAAAAAATTTGAAAATCTATAAAATTTGTATATATACAATGTTTGATAGCTTCTTTGAAATTTTATTGATTATATTTCTTTTTTAAATATTGTAATAAATATGTAACCAGGAATATTAAATTTATTCATGCATATGTACGCTCTCGGCACAATATAAAAATTCTAATTTTAGATACCAAGAAAAATGAAAAAATTTACAAAATTTTTTTTAAACAAAATTTTATTTATTAAACCGACTATGTTCATTGGCAAAATGGGTAAGGTGCTTTAAAATTATTGAATGACTTTATGCGAGCTTCCATTGAACGATATCTGTTTTAAAACACTTAAACACTTAAACTGCGAAACAGATCGTAAATTCTGAATAACGGAAAATGAGTGTAGAGTAAGAGAAGGGACGCCCGTCCACTCACGAAAATCCCGTTCCATCGATAATCCTCAAATTAAACATTCGACAAGCGCCCATGCAAACGAACCTTTTCGAAAGAAGTAAAATTCTCCAACCATCTATTGAAAGCAATTAACTTCTTTAATGAATATCAAGAGGCGCACCGAAAATTTCCCCTGTACCTTCTCTAAGCAGTCATAAAAGAAGGCTTCCAAGATGCGTCTCCTCTTCATCAGAGACGAAGAAGCACAAAGACCATGATCCATGTCCTTCAACTCCATAGTATCTTTAAATCCCTCATAGATATCCGTTATGGCGACTCCCAGACTCTTTTCCATTTTCTCCAAATGTTCCGTCAGGACCACCACCAATATACCGAGATCAGTCTTAAATTATACTCCAACAATACCTTCGTCCTCTCCTTATCCCCGTCGGGTTAGAAAACTATATAGCCACCCCGTATGTGCAAGCCCTGTTGTTCTGAAAGATTCAGTATTTATGGTTTTGGAATTGTTTAAAAATGGAATGATACAATAATTATGCAACTTTGGTTCCAATATTGTAACCTTTACACTTAACTATTTTATAATAAACCTGATTATTACAAAATATAGTATAATTTGTAGAATAATATTGGAATCGTATACAAGATTATATTTTAATTAAAAATATCCGATTATTTTTGTTCACTCCGTAAAATGTTATAACCATGAATACTAATGAATTCACCTCCAAAATATTATTAGTAATTAAAATCTTAATTACCCAAAGTTTTTAATAATCTTCTTAAATTATTTACAAATTGTATCCTTGTTTAGAAAACGTGTATGATTTGCCACACATTTTACACATAATAATAGATTTAACCTCACTTTACGTACATGTATGCATTACCACCTATACCCATATGGTCATATAGCTTAATTAATTTCAAAATGTACAAAATAAATTCTATACATTTTAAATGGTACATACATAATATATTTCTCATTAAATTTTTTATATAAAAAATTCTTAACAATTCTTTTTAACTTACTTATACATTTTTCTCCTTTGAATCCACATGGAGGTTCAGCAACAGGTGGCCCATATCCATTAACCCAATTGAATTCACGATAAAGATTTAAATCCTGTAATATATAGAAGAAGAGAAGAGAGAACGAGGATTAGATTGGTAATAACATTAACACCTAATTTATTTTATGTATGCATGTACGTGCATCTGTACAGATTTTAAACTAATTAACATTTCATTTAAAATCTATTATCTATTTCTTGCTTTTTTGATATTCTTTATATATAGATACACCTGATTCTATTTTTCCTCTCTATACATTGTTTGTAATTTAATTTTATATTAAAATATTGCGCACAAATTGAATACTTTTAGAGACAGTCTTTTTCATTTCAAGGGGAAATTAATTTCTTTCTGTGTATGTTGACATGTAAAATTTGTTGCTTTCACAATAACTTTCCCAGTTGTATGCTGTACAATCTAGTTATCGTGAAAACCTATAATTAGCAAATTTTATTAGAAAAGTTTAGCATTAGAAGAGAAGCTAAGCCTTTCTAAACCCAATTTTGTAAACAATATTGCAAGTTGCTTTTTTCATATACAAATATAATTCTCATAGAAATTTTTATTATACAAGATTAGTCCAAGCAAGTATTAAATTTTGTAAATAAAACTACAAATAACTTAAAAATGTAGCATACTTTCAGGCTATTCCTATACAATTTCTTACATAAGCTTTATGGGCTCTTCACATTATTGTGACACTGCAACCGCGACAGTCGCACGAATTGTCAAAATGTAATTCAATCCATTGATTTAGAAGAAATTGAAAAATTAATACAACTAGTAAAAGATATAAAAGATTTGTTTTGATGTCGCTATCGCTTACAATCTATTAACACAATTGTGACAACGACATTTGTGCTATATCTCGAACGACTCTCGCTGCAGTACAATCGCACAGTATTACACTGTCACAGCAATATGAACAACAAATTAAACGGTATTTAAAGTTATTAAAGTAAAAATAGAATCGGGTGTAAAAAATTTTATTAAAATTTTTCGTATTACCTGTATGTGTCCCTTTTTTACATTTTTTAGTTTAAATTGCAAAGCGTGAAAAAATATTTATTAATAATTATATAAGCAACATGTATACATTAAAGTCTGCATAAATAAATAAATAATAAACGGGTATTGAATAAACAAAATAAATAAATTACCAATATAATGACGAGAAAATGAAATTTTTTAATATTAAAAAAAAATAACAAAAATATTATGAAAATAAATAATTTTATATTAATTAAAATTTTTGTATATAAGTAAACGCTCTACTATATATTGTGTGTTATAGCGAAAGCAAGTACAAAAGGACATTGTTGTATTGTGCAGTACAAAATTCTTGTTGTTACAAATTACAATATTTTCTAATGTAATGGTGTAAACTACACTAAATAATTAAATTATTAGGTTAATGCACATTGTAAAGCTATTGCAGAAAAATATAAGAGCATTTAATATAGCATAATTAAATATATTGGTTGGCAAAGTTATTGCTTTTCTAATACTAACTAAGCGAAAGCTATCATTTTTAGTTTTTATGGTCCGGAAATTACAGCGGAAATTTAATATTCAATATCAGACTGAGAGAAAAAATATTATTTATTAAAGATCAAAGAAAGCATTTTTTTTGCCTCATTTAATTTAAAAATTTTAATTTTGAGATGAAAACGAAAATTGAGGGAAGCATCAACGAAACGTTTCATTTTTCGGAGTAATTAGGTGAGTAAAGATAAAATATATTTTACTTTCGTACAAATTTAAAAAGAGTTTCAGTTTCGGAAAAATAAGGAGCCAAAAACTGAAATGAATTGCTAATTTTGAAAAGCATTGATTTTAAAGGGGGAAAGATAGATAGAAAATCACTTATTAATTTTTACAGACTATTAAAATTGCAGACTTCTAAAATTTATCGCCTAGAAGAGCACGATGGAATTTTTTTCCTACTTGAAGGGGTATATAGAAGTTTTGTAAACATTTGATGAACGGATAGATTGGACGAGCAGACTCACCACACTGAAGCTAATAAGTATATTTGATCCTAATTTTGTTTAAAACTTTGTTAATAATAAAAATTTACTGCAAATTAATTTTAAAAATACAGCTTTTGCGGCTCAAAACTCTCTCTTCCTAATTACTAATGCTAAAATTATATGAATTATGTGAACAACTGAAAAAATATGAATAATAATAACAACTACAATATCAAAATTTCTCAGCTATTATACTTACTGGAAGAACATCCTTTTTTGGTGCACTAAATGTACCAATCGGCACTAATCCATAAACAGTCTTATTTTTATTATTCCGAAATAATTTTCTACCTAGCACCGTATAATTTCCAGCTGCATCACCATTTTCATCAACATAAACGTGATATCTAAAAAGACAAAATTTCAATTTTATTTACTCATCTACAGTATAATTGTACATTTTTTTAATAAATGTTTAAAATAATTTTTTTTAATAAAAATTTATACAAAAATCAAAGAACAAAAGGAAAAAGATAAATTAAAAGTTCATACCCCATCGCACTTAAATATTTTGTTCCTTTGACTGCATCAATAATTGCTGTACCATTTCTAGGATTTTCACCAACTGATAAAACTTTTATTAAAGCACTTGTATATAAATTTACAGCATCATATAGATATGCTGCTTCAGCACGAATCTAAAAAATGGAACAAAAATTATATAAGAAGGTAAAAATGTGTTTGCATGTATGTGTGAAAAAGAAAACAATCATCATTAATCATTAAACTTTTACATATTAATGATGGTAAAATTGAAAACGAGAAACTTGAATGAACAGTTTAATGAGCTAAAATAAGGAAAAACAAGTAAGCATAACACATAGTACATACGAACCTTTTTAGTTCCACCAAAATATCCTAAAGGATTTGGAAAATTGAATGGCGGTAATTCCATATATTTATTAACCTAAAATAAAAAAATAAAATTAATATGTTAGAGCCATTTTATAGCAGAAACATGTTATCAGAGTTCTTTTGATAAGTCGAAATTGAAAAATTTGTTGTGAAGAGATAACACTACCATGCCGAACATGAAATGCTTGGTTGCATTAATAGTAGCCCAGTTGTGGATTGTAGATTGCAAAGAATGGGTAACAGTTTACCGCAACCAGAAAATTTAGGTCTATTGTGCCCTCTAACTAAGTGGGGGACAAAGCCTTACAACACCCCCTCGAGACCCATCCTTCTGATGAATTCGAGCAACTATGAAGGGTCGGCAAACCGAAGCTCCACCGGAGTGAGCACGTAATTTCTCAGTGCCTAACCTCTCATGCGGGCGAGGGCCCCGTATTTCCTCAGAAGGTATGCTGAGGACTTCTCTTGTGCTGAGGACTCTGAGGAATACCTGCAAACACCTTCACTTTCTAGGCTCAGTCTTCTTACCTGATTCTTGCCAAACCCTATTATTTTCCTAAAGAGCCCCTGGTTATAATTTCCCAGAAGCTCCTTAGCCTCTCGAAGCCTTGGAAGGCCCCTCCAGTAGCTATACCAACGACTCTGACTATAGCAGCCCAATTTTCGAAGATGGGTAAAGCTGATTGATGTAAAATAGTTATGTAATATTTAATATAACCCCAGGCACTTCTTTTTGAATGCAGTGTTGACCGGTAATAAAATTTTCAATTTATAGACAGTGAATACTTTATTAACAGGTTAGGGATGTACATTTGTATTTATGCTTGAAATCTATGGTTATTCATAGTTCCTATACAAACACTGAAAATTTAAAAATTCCACTTTGCAACTCACATACTTCGTCCCTATATTTTAAATACTATAAACCTGTCTAATTTTTTTTTTAAATAAATAAAAAAATCGATAATTTTTAGAACTATAAAAAATCAATTTTATTTTATAGATTTTTGATTTATACGAATTTCTGGTTCCGCTTCATAAAATATAGAATTTGTAATAAATCTTGTATCAAAAGCAATATATGAAAGGTCAACAAACTGAAAATATCATAATTGTTGCTGGAGCAGGGAGTAGTTTGCCGATATTTTATAATTTTCAAGAAATTTGATTTTTTATAAAATATGTACTATCTCTCCATTTAAGTATTTTTGTCAAATATCGAGCTAAGGATTTTAAAAAACAATTCGCTTACCCAGTGCTGCCAATACTTTCTTGCTCAATTTACCACCTTTAATTCAAAAATTCCTATATTTCCCTTTTCCAAACCTTATTTTTTCCCATATAATTTCCCTTTAAGAAATTTTTTGTTTATACCCATACATCTAGCATTGTCTTTAAACATAATATACATACTTAACCATTTTTTTCATCTGCTGCGTTAATGGAAAGTTTTCAATTGAATTTCTCGTAATTTTTGGCTTTTTCCTATATTCTCTTCAAGGCTTTCCCTCAATATTTCCCTCAAAATGTGAAATTTCCCACGATTTAGCAACCACTGTTTATAATTCCCTCGAATTCATTATAGTTCCTTCGGATTTTAAAAGTCTTATTCTAAATTCAACTAATTGTCCAAATTATTTGATGGCAGGCAAATAATTTACCGTGTGCCTCCCATTGTAAGGAACAAGACCATTTAATTTCAAGAATTCGAGTAATAAAACAACACAAGAACCATTATTGTTATCATTTTTCTTACAATTTCTATTGTTCTTGATAATTCTTATCTCAATAGTAAAATGGATATCAGTTATCATCCTTGTAATATCTCAACAACAACAAATGTATAGGAATAGCATTGGCAGATTTTTTTGTTGACTTTGTATATTGTTTTTGTTTCAAAATTATTTTTACTATGTTTTATATTGAAAATTATTATTCGAAATCAATATTTTAGTAATAATAACTTTTTATATTAAAAATTGTTTTTTTTTTTATTTCATCTTTATAAATATTTCATAAAGGAAAGTTTTTCTACAATTTCCATTTAAATTGTCCTAGATGTCTTTTTGGGTGAATTAAAAACACATGCGTCTATTTTATAGTTTTTATAATTTATAAATATATTCGAGATATATTATAAGATTCCTGTATATTTTAAGTCATTAAGAGTCTAAGATATAACAAGAATTGCACAGATTTCAGATATTTGCGTGTATATGGGCGTATTGCCCAACAACAATATTTAGTTTGATGGACTGGGTTGTTATCAAGAGCTTTATCGAAACCATGCAGAAACGCAACTAGAAAAAGTTCAAGTTTAGTTTAAGCAAAGCTTTTTCACAATATGAGACAATGTGGAGAGTCTTCCGTAACTTTTTAGTAACATATGTCAACAAACAAAGACTTCCTTCTTTACTTCATGAAGGCATATTTCAGCTAAAGATTGATTTTATGGCCTCTTTGATATTTTTGTTCTTAAGCTCTATTTTGTTCCGATTGCATGCTAGGTAAATTTGGAATAAGTCGTACTTTTCCGGCAACATTGCAGACACAGCAAATTATTTTTATAAAGTTTTCAAGTATCTATATTTAAATTCTATTTCAAAATGTTTCAAAATATTAACAAGTATTAAACTCAGTATTTTGGCATTAAAATATTTAAGAAGTTGTAAACTTTAAGCGAATCAAAAATTAAAGTCTTCATAATGCAATCATGAAAGAAACCATTGCATATATTGTCAAAAATTCAAAAAATCTGTCTTAACCTAATTAAAGAATTCTATAATTGCTTATGAGCTCCACAACTTTCTTCATAATTATTAAACTTTAAGAACATTATCAAAGTTAAAGATATTTTATTAATTAATTTAATTTGTACTTCAAATATTTGCTGTCTCGTGTCTCACTCTTGAAGGTTATTGTCTATATTTTCCCTTTAATAATTTTGCGTTTCTTGAACTTCTCTTATATGACACACAATATTTTTATAATATAGTGGAAGCAAAAAGTGGTAATTAAATACAGACTCATAAACTAAAGATGTTTGAAATTTGTTGTTGAGGATGTTGGAAAAGGAAAAAATTAAAGAAATTATAAGGAGAAAAATTTTTATTAAAATTATCCTGTAAGTGTTTTCAATTATAACTGTTTTTCTAACGAAAGAAAAAGGAAGAAGATATTGAAAGCCTTGATAAAAACTTGCCACCCTTTAAACATTTTCTGCAGTTTCGATTTGACTGTCGCAGAACTTTTGTAAGTCCTACATACTGTGGGGCCAGATGAGGAAATTTCAACGTCTTGACAGAAGAGTTTGATAGTGAAGCTCTCGAAGAAAGGGGACTTAAGAGAGCTTTTCCACTTTAGAGAAATAACCATGCTAATTAACAAAATGCTGTTATTTATTGAAATGACGAATCGAACTGTAAATTAAAGTAACTCTTCCAAAGGAACAGGCTAGGTTCAGAAAGCAAGTACTCGAACACACTTGTGGAACAGTCAATTAAGTCAATAAAATTTAAAATTTATACAAACTATCGCATTTTTAACATATGCGGTAACCCAAATACAAAAACTAGTTAATGGAATTTTAATTATTCTATTTTGATTTTTTAACTTTTCGTGTTAATTTTGCCTCATTAGGCATATTAAAGGATCAATCTTCAAAGCTAATTTTCTTCCTTGTATTTAATCGAATTTAATTGCTTCATAACTGTTGGAAAGAGAGGAAGATAATTATTACTGAATTTCGTAAAATTTTTTTAAGGAATGATCGAGTACACTCTTTTATAATCTCTCTCTTTGACTTCAATTAGAATAAAATTGAGGGGGAACAATGCTTAAGTTATTAATTCCGATATTTGGAATATTTTTGTGTATAAATATTTATCGATTGTAGAGCAAGTTCCTTATATTTTTTATATATCAATTATTATTGTAATTAAATCAATATAATTTTAAAACTGTGGCTTAACTCACATTTAATATTGTTGTATATAAAGGCAATAAATTTCTGTATACTTACTTGTTTTGCAAATTCTTCAAATTTATTTGAAGCTGATGGAAATATACCCATATATGAACGGTAAGCTTCTTCTACTGTTTTATCAATCGTTTCTAATAATAATCCTCTTAAATATTTTTCTGGTTCTGATTTATCATATTGTTCTATATCAACACCAACAACGAAATATTCACCACTCTGAAGAAGTTCTTTTTTATAGAGAGCCAACATTAAACCTAAATGCTCATAATAATGTCCAAGAATTATATAAACTTAATGTATAGAGTTCATAAAATATGAAATGAGAAATTATGAAAAGAAAAGAAAAAAAACAAAGAAAATTAATCGGATGAAATTATTAAGAATTGTGTACAATAATTTAATTTTAATAAAGAATAATTTTATAAGAACAAGGATATATTTTTGTAGACGAGTACGATATCTTCAATACAAACCAGTTTTTTTTTTTAGAAAGGAAGCAAAAAGGAAATTCATATTTTTACCGAGGAAGAATTTTAATGTTGAAGTTCGCTCTTATTGTAAGAAATAATTATTGTGATTGGATGAAAATAAAGCATCGCTGTTGAACACAGAACCGTATCTAGTAGAAATCTAAATAAATTAATTTTTGATGAAAACTTTTTAAGGACTAATTTCGCAAATTAGTACCTCAAAACTCCACTAATGTAGGATATTTGAGGAGTTGAGTGAAAATCACCTCCAGATTTTAGGAAATCTATGGAAATTTCAGGAAATAAGCGGTAGTATGGAAAGTTTTCATCCTGTAATTATTTGTTAACTCTCGAGTGAACATCTATAAGTTAGTAGTGATTTAGTAATCTTATCACTACAAATTTAGGAACTGTATGAATGTTACTACATATTACTGATAGTGCCCGAGCACTCCATTTTCCAGTTTCTTTAAATTTAACATTTTCAATATTAAATTAACTGTACTGTTATTTTATAATATTACATTCATAAATCTAGAGTTATGCTTCTTTCAACAACCAAAAAAAAAAATAAATTTTTCAGTTTAAAATTGTTATAATTGTATTTCCTTAAATATAAAAGTGTGCACAATATACAAACGTCTGTGCTACATGCATTAATAATTCGTGGATACGTATAACATTCCCCATATTATATTTTATACAAACAACAAATTTTACATTTATATGTTATACATATGTATAAAATTTTATTGTTTTGAAATTTCGTGGTTGTATAACATACATACGTATGTACGTACAATTATTTGCAATATAATTTATTAAATCTATATAATTTCTTCCTGTGAGTCGTAAACAATCGAAATGCAAACAAACACATTGCTTTGGCATATTAAATAACAATATATTTCCGTTTGTTACTCTTGCTCTTAGTTACTTCAACAATTTAAAATCAAAAATTTTCAGAAGATTTTCAATGGAAAATAAAAATTATTATTTTAAGCACATTATTGAATTATTTTTAACTAAATATTTGTGAATTGTATGTATTATATTAGGCGTTTATATAATGAATGCAATATAAGAACAAAATATAATAGCCATGTAAATAAATACAACAGTTGTTAAAGCATATTGTAATTGGAAATTCGATTAAAAATAAGCAGGATTATAAAAGATATTTAGTAAAAAATTGAATTGAAAAAGTGTTTCTTACACAATTTGCGACGACAAAATCTAAGATTAAAACTACGGTAAGATCTGATGACTATTTAACATATAAAACTGAAATTATCTGATGACGGTCAGACATCACGTCAAAGTTGTATTAACAATAAAAAAAGTAAGCTGAGCGGTACTTCAAACTATCACAAAAAATAATTGTCGCCATTTTGCTATCACTCTGACACAAAAAATTATGAGAGTAGAGTAACTGCTGCTATTATTAAAGCAGGGTTTATATATTCGACCTTCTCAGCATATACATATCCGGAAATGATACTCAGATTAAAGCATAAATGTTGTCGTATAACAGTAAGTAACAAATTACCTGCACGTCATACGAGTAACTTCTTAAAGTGTAAGAATAATTGTTAATTTTTACAAAAATATTATTATCGACGAAAGTCTTAATTTTTCGCCTAAATATATGCAATTTTTATATATTTATAATTAATTTTCTATTGCCATAACAGCCGAAGGTATAAATAGCAACATTCTAATTTATTAATAATATTCTATAACTTTATGTGTATATGTATGTAAATAAATATTTTTACATTTAAATTCAAAGGAATTCGCTTTTTTATGATTCCTTAATTTAATAACTTGGCAAGGAAGAAAATTTTATTTTTAGATTTTCATTTCTAAAAATAGAAAACAAACAAATAAATTAAACCATAATGTTATTAATCTTCTAGTATAGTCTTGTTAAGTTGTTATAAATTACATAAAATGGCTAAATTTACATACATATTTCATATTAAAATATTTTTTTATATAAAATTATCTTGGCAAAATTTTCCCTAGAAAAATACTTATTTATAAAAAATAATTTATTGCTTTGTGATTTAAACATGCTGTTTTTATGTTAATGGTTTTGTAACTGTTGATAGACGTAGAACAAAAATCTGTCTTAAATTCCATTAGTGTTGTGATAGAGTGTCAGAGTAACAATAATGTAATCATTAAAAGACAGCAAGGCTGGATTAAGTGGTTGCTTACATCCCGCTTTTTCTGCACTTTGAAGAGGAGAGTCCAGTGTGTTTAATTCTGAACAATATTTTTTCACAAGTTCTTACGAATGAAGCGAATCAGATTGTTATGAACATTTATTAAAATTAATTGATGGAATCGGTGGCATTTGAAGTCATAGTCAGTCGGATACTCAACACCAAGGGAATGTAATAATAAAAATAAAATTAAATAAAGAGGATAAATGTAATGTACTCATGTATACCATAAAGGATTCCACTCCGAATCTAATAATTTATTTAGTACTGGGACTGAATGCAGAAATCTCCCAAACATTTCACTTATAATCGAAATTCTACAAAACATTTAAATAATTTTATTCCTATTTAAAGTTGAATAATTTTTTGTGGTTTGTGAATTATTCAAGGATTGTAATATTGTGGGTATATCACAGTGTATTATGATTTCTAAAATTCATAAATTTAAAAAAATAATATTTTAATTTTTTCCACAAAATATTTTAATTTTTTTGTGGAAAACTTTATAAAATTAAATTACATTATTTCTAAAACCATAATTGTAAGCACATTTCAATAACCAAAATCGTTTTTATTTTTAGCAAAATGGGATTATGAATATCCTTAGGATAAAATAAGGGAAAACATAAAGATGTGAAACATTCCTACATGCATATTAAATTACGTAATGTAAAAAGCGAAGTGTATAACGAAGGTGTAATTCTATGCTGTAACATTTGTATTTTCATTCGAATATAATTCGTCTCATTGGTGTAGGAGGCAAGGTTAGTTTTTTTTTTTTCCTCCACGGGACCGAGGCCCCAGGCCCCACTCACGTCGACCCATAGGATCTTTTGTGATTCCTATCTTCCTACATTAGGCCAATTCCTAGGCCCCTGACAAACCGCAGTATGGCAGCCACATCAAGCTGCGAGATCCTCCCCGGGGCCACAAAGCCCCGCTCGAAGCACCTCAGCCGCAGGCGAGCAACCGCCTCGCACTCACACAGCAAGTGCTCCATGGTTTCGTCCTCCTCCAGGCATAAACGGCAGACCTCATCCGCCACCCTGCTCATCCTTTTCAGGTGGACCTTCGTGAGGCCGTGTCCAGTGAGAACCTCCACTAATGTTCTCAAATTTGGACGACTGAGCAAAGTCAGATCCTGCCCCCCAGTCCCAGGGGACGCACAACTTTCCTAGAGTGCGACAGGCCCAGGCAGCTGTCCAGTGTTCAACTCTGGCCCGCTTCTCCCATTCACTGAGGATACGCAAGACCGGTGTCTTGGGCACCCCAAAGCATGGCTCCGGCCCAATGAAGGGAGCCGCTGCTTCCTCCCTGGCAAAAGCATCAGCTCTCTCGTTCCCGTCCACCCCGTAGTGTCCCGGCACCCACATCAAGGTCAATTTGTTGTGCCTGGCCAGGACGCCAAGGACGTCAATGCATTCCTTCAGCAGCCTCGATCCCACTACATCTGACAAGAGGGCCCCGAGAAAAGCCCTACTGTTCGACATAATAAGAATCCTGCTACTTCTTATGTTCCTTCTGATACATTCTAGAGCACATAACTCTATGGCATATGTGTCAGCCTAAAATATCGATGGGCAGCATCCGAGGACCCTTGATATGCTTACGCCCTCTCTATACACAGCTACGCCCACCCCTTCATTGGTTTTGGATCCATCCGTATAGAAGACCACGGCCGCAGGGCCAAGTTGTGGTCCCCCCCTCCGTCCCAGATCCGCCTTTCAGCTAGATCTACAACATATGGCCTCACTATGTTCCTCTTCCTCATATCAAAGTCCAAGGGATCCCCATGTCATGTAGGCTACCGATCTCCGCAATGATGCTTAGATGACCCCTAAGATCACCCGGCTTTGGTTCCCTGAATTACCTTATCCGCAGTGCCTCCTTCATAGCCTCCCCCTTTAGGTGAATATGAAGCGGAGCCAAGCCCAGGAGAACCTCCATCGAGGTCGTTGGGCACGTTCTTAGGGCACCAGTTATGCCAAGACATGCGAGGCGCTGCAATCGAGTGAGAGCAGCCCGCGCCGTCGCCTGCTCAGCCTTGTGCCACCATATGACAGAAGAATAAGTTACAATTGGTCGAACAATTGTAGTGTAAGTCCAGCATACCATTTTAGGGCTAAGACCCCACGTTTTCCCATATAGCCTCGTCGAAGCCCATAGAGCCCGGGTAGCCCTAACTATGACTCCATCAAGATGAGGCCCCCAGTTTAGTCGTTGGTCTAGGATTACTCCCAGATACTTGACCTCCTTGGAAGGCCCAATGTTTGTGGCCCCCCGGAGCAACGGGCGCACATTAAATTTCAGTCGCCTAAAAATGGTACAACGACTGCCTTTTCCGGGTTAATGCCACGGCCCCCCACCTGCGTCCAGTCCCGTATGATGTCTAGGGCACCCTGCATTCGGTCAGCCACGACATCATCGTACTGGCCCCTCACAACAACGGCCTGATAATCAGCGTAGTGTACATTATACCCGCTATAAGACAGCTTGTACAGCAACCTGTCCACCACAATGCACCAGAGCAAGGGAGATAGGATCTCCCAGCGGACAACCACGCATGGTCCGCACCGTAATCTTGGCGTCTCCCACCCTGGCAGCAATATTTCGGGAGCCCGATCCATCTCAGAGTGGGGGCCTCAATTCCCTTTCTTGCAGCCGCCCTCATTATTGACTCAAAAGAGGTATTGTCGAAGGCCCCCTCAACATCCAGAAAGGCCGCAAGGCCGGTATGACTTCGGGTGAGTGTCAAGGCGATTGGCCTTCGGTATGAATACCACCCTCACCCTCCTCCAAGTCACTGTGGAAACCCACTCAGACACGTGCCAGTTCCAAAGAGGCCACAAGGGGGCTACATATCGTAAGGTCCAAGACCTCCTTACGTATCGCGTTTATGAAGGTCGGTTCGTTACGCCTATTAGCGACATCTAAGTTATTTTGTAATAAAAAATCAAAAAGGCACTCACCACTAGGGTTTGGTTAATGTGTCTTCCAAAGTATACACATTGCCTAGCGAGCTCATCCCGCAACCGAAATCATCTCATTGAGAAATAACTTGCAATCCCGGACTGTTGTAGAATTAGACGTCTGCCATTTTAACACCTTTATCGCTGCTGATGCACCTACTTGATATCAAATTGCCTGTTAGCCATTTTAAAACCTGGTTTATTGTGACCACCATCGTCAAAATACGTTCCAGTGTTCCAGAAGGTGAAAAGAGATCTCTACACTAAGTTGTTTCGAATGAACTCCTCCCCCTAACCAGAGGCAATCGCGAATAAAAGAATAAGAGAGACATAGTCAACCCAACGGTAGTTCCCATTATGGCCGGGCGCCATAGCCCAGAATATCAATATTTTAAGAAAATTTTGCTTTTGTTAATAGTAAGTATTAGATCCTTCCAAATTTAATTTACAAATAGTCGACTTTACAAATAGGAATTTTGCAAAATTTCCTAAAAAATTTGGTTTTTTGATTTTCAACTCCACTATAGTGTCACAATATATAAATAAATCTATCTGATTTGCTAGGATTTCTTTAATAATTAGAATTACATAAAATACACTAACATTCAAATAAATAGAGTCTTGAATCATTGCGTGTAACAGCCCAAAATATTCAAAGAACCAAACCACTATTAACCCAAAAAATCATCTTTAACCATACTAGTTATAATAGAACAAAATACAAAAGGTAGAAATCCTAAGAAACGAAAACTCCTTTCCATGATCTTTGAATATTTTATTTGATATCATTGAACTCAGATCGTCCTTGACTATTGGAATTTATATATATAATATAAAAATATTTATATACATGGTGTAATCTAAATACTAATCCTAACATTTTATTAAGATATTTTTCAAGATAATCTCGATAATATTTTTTTTTCATATTGTAATTTAAGAAGTGATGGTGTGCTTTTTTTTACTTATTAAATACCCAACATCTATGATAGTAGAGCATTTATCCTTAGGTATTTGTACGTAGATCCTTAAATGTACGTTCTCAGATATTTTTTTTCAAAATAAGTATAACAAGTTATTTTTCTCACGTATGTTTATAATTTGTATATTAAATATCTAGAGTCTAGATACTAAAAATATGTATTAAAATAAAATATGCAAAAACTTATGATATTAAAATACTTACTCCTTGTATTTGAAAATGTTTTCTCAACAATATCATCAAATGGATTCTCCATAAAACCATGATGATAAATTGTTTTCCATGTTACAATTTCTCTTACATTTACACCATTCAATTTTAAAATCGATACAATTGTCTCAGCAACTGGAACATATTCTTCATTTGCAGAATTTAAATATAAAAATGTTACCTATCCATAAATCAGCATGCAGGAATTATATTTTGTAGAAGTTCAGGATCATGATGAAATGAAAAAAGAGGATAAATGAAAAATAATGATTTTTAGTTTTTACGTTATTGGTTTGTTTGGTTTTTTCTTTTATAAATCACAAAGTCTTAATATTCTTCAGATCGAAAACATTAATGAAAATTTGAATTCTTTCTATAGTAATAGAAATTTCTAGAACAAAAGCTGGTTAATAACTTTGTGATTTATAAGTCAAAAGTGAGGATAGTAGTTCTAAATGAATTTTTTAAACTTACTTCAGTCCAATTATAGGCTAAAAGTAATGATACAACTGACTTTGATATTTGTGTATCAGGTGGTCGGGTTCTAGCAAATGTTGGAAAATCTTTTTTTAAGGATGTATCCCGATGTGTGCAAAACTGAAAAAATCAAGAAGTTATATTGGCAAATTAAATTGAGAAATTGAAAATATTTTACGATAAACGCTAATTTTTCCAATTAACTGACCCATTATGACTCATTCATATTTATGATGATGTATTACCCATACCTTCAAATGAAGAAAACGAACTGAGGCGAAAACCTTTTAAGAGAGTATATGAACTTACCTCCCGAACATACCAAAGAGATAGAGTAGGGATAACGATTTTATTAATATTTAGAGAGGCTCAATTTTCGGTCGATACTCTAGAGTCGAGACCCTACTTCTTAGTATTGATACTACTAAATAATTGTATGTGTGGGACACTCATTTTTCAGTTAGTCTGGTAATACGAAACATGAGCTATATGTTGCACAAGAGCGTTCTAAGCTTAAGGGAAGTTTTTGAAGAAGATTTAATTTGAAATTTCAAATAAAATTTTAGGTACATTAATAAGTTTTTTGAATTTTGATTTTTTCATGAAGACCGTTTGGTATATGTTGGGTATACAGCGGTATGCATTGTACTGCAAATATACGCCTATCGGGAATCTTATTGGTGCAATAAATTGAGCATTCGCAGTGGCTCAATGGTGCATTCTCTTATAATATTACGAAACTGATTTAATAGCTAACATAATTTGAGCTCTATTGTAGGAGATGATTTCAAAGAATAGAAAATCGTAAAATTGCTATCGTAAAATTTATCTCTAAACTATACTGTTTATTAAATAAAGAAAAAAATAACTCTTCCACAGCATATTTTCCATATTTATTCAATAATTTTTTAAAAATTTTCTTAGTAATACAATGTATAGCAATAAAAGTATTCTTTCTCATAAAATTAATCACGAATGTAGATCCAAAAAAAACTAGAATTTAAATAAACATATTTTTCCCCCGAATAATGGCAGACAACACTTTACCCTTAAAATTCGCAGCTCTATACATTATTCCACCACATTATCTACTCAAAACAAAATTTGCTCCATTTTCTTCTTAATATTTTCTTATCTCATTCTAATGTCAATCTTCTTATTTAAATAAATATATTTATTTTTCATGTAAAAATCTCATAAATCTTCTCTTCTCCCAAAGGCTGTTTACAATAAAAAAAAATATTATTTAAATTCCTAACATATGGGACCCACACTATTGTTATTTCTTATACCTAATTGCAAAGCCGTCTAAAATACAAAATATTAATAAATTTTCCGCCAAATGTGTTCCAGTTTAGCGTGTGTCACATTAATTTCTTAATGTCTGTCATCGAATCAAACAAAATCTACATAAAACATAAAAGTGGCATTCTTAAAGTTTAACCTAATTTTGCTATTATATAAAGAGAATTAAAGGCAAAAATACATAAAAATCGTCTAAAATCGATTTTATGAATCGATAAAAATTTCTTCTTTCAAAAAGGACATTTTATTTATTCCCTTCTTCTATTCAGTTTTATTATGCTATTTCTATTACAATTCCTTTATGATTATCATCCTATTCAATCATAAATCATGCCTTCATAGTATGTAGATCTCAATTCCAATTGATTTTGTCTATTTTTATTTGAATATAAACATAATTTCGTTTGATTTCCAAAAGATTAGTTTACTTTATCCCCATACATTACAAAAATATTGTGTAAAAACCCCTTGAGCTTTATACCTATAACCATTCTCATTCAATATACATGCGAGTTTCAATATAAAGGGAATTAACAAAGTCATATAGTACATTTCCTTTTCCTGATAAAATTATATCCTGATTTCCTATATTTTCTATATATTCCAAATTGCTTTCTATTAATCTATTTTATATTGTGATACACAAGTACATACATGTGAGCATATTAAAAAATAGCCAAAATATTTTATTAGGTCATTTTCTATGGTCTTTTCCATGTATAAAGGATCATAAAAACAAAATACAAGTATTAAAGAATAAACCACAAAATAATAATAATAAATAGATAACAAAAATTTTTGCTTACATATGAAATCATTGGTAAATTAAAAGCAGCTGCCATACGACCTTCATGTACACATGTCTCTTGTGGTCCAATATAACCAGCAATTTGTTTTGTCCACAAATCAGCTGTTTGCCTTATACTTATTACTTCATCACCATATGTTTCAGCAACAACAAATTCCAATGTATGTCCTAAATCCTTTAATATATCTGAATTAACCTTTGATATAGCTAAACTTATTGCACCCGATATTGTTAAACCTATATATATACATATATAGAAATTGGAAAATATAAAAAGAAAATTTCAAAAACAAAAAAAATTTCTTTCTATATGACAAATGAGTAGGATGAACCGGAAATATAACAACATTGTATGTATGAGGGCAGGTAATGTATGTATAATAAATATAATATTTTTATCCTTTTCAATTTTAGATATGAGAAAATAAAAGGAAATTGTGTTCTCATCGACAGCATTATTCCGTAATATAGAGCACACATTCGAAATGCCAGAATGGCAAAAACAAAAAAAAAGAAAATCAGAGAACTTTTGTAAAAGCAGCAATAGCCTTTTACTGTAATTCACTAAAGTTACCGACAGGTTATAAGAATTTATTGTGCCCCACTTCCAAATGTGAGACATGCTGTACAACACCCGAAAGACCGCTACTCCGTCACTGTAAGTGAGAGGTCTCGCAGTATTTCCCCCTCCTACTAATGAGAGAGTCACTCTCTCCTATAAGGTGTACTGGGTCTCCCACCCTATACTTAAGTACTCTTTTAGTCTGCAATACCTCAACAAGACTTCTGTACCCAACCTAACATATTCTTGGTCAACCCTATAATTTTCTTAATTTGCTTTTGATCATAATTCCCGAAAGATTCTTGACCTGCCCCAGTCCCAGAAAAATTCACCAGCGAACTGACCACCTTCTCTCTTGATTATTTTGTTAGTTCCCAACAAACAGTATGTCGCCCCCCATTTCCTTCTACGCCCACACTTGCCCTAGCTCTCAGCACAGAGTAGCTTTCACACTACCGCGGAGAATACCGAAAATGAATTCAGCGCTCCAACGGCATAATCATTATCTCTTGTGCCCGGCACTCCCTTTCGAAGCTGAATCCCACCCAAAATTCAACGGCATGCACCTCTGCCCAACACATTTGCCCAAAATATTGCCGCCCCTTCTCTTTTTGTAACAAACATTTTAACCAATTTATGGTGCAAAGTCTTTTTTTATTTAATCATGATTATTTTGTTTCATTTTCCACTCGGATATTATCATTTCATACAACATGACTCTTAAATTTTTTTATAAAATAATTCCAACGATTCATTTCGTATAAATAATCATATTTTATGAATACAAAATTAAAAACATTTTTCACTTTTTGTAAAATGAATAAAATTAGATGACATTGCAAAGGATAATAGTATAACAAAGAACTATTTACTAATATACCTTTGTCCGTATATAAAAATTTAAATTTAATAACAAGAACTTACAGTCCTTGAGGACATTTTGCAACAAACAACATTTACTATATATATATAGATACAATATTGCTATATGAAGCAAAAAGAGACTCATTATTCATAAAATTAAAATTTTTTTTTTTGTTTACCTGGTCTTTGATAATCTAAATTTCCAGGACGTCTTTGTGAACCAGTTAAATAACCCAATGTAAATACATCACAATTTATCACATTTAATTTAAATATTATTGAAAATAAAAATAAAATATTAAATTTAAAAAATAATAATTTTAAATGTAATTGATGAAATTTTGAATACTTCATAACGTTTTCCGCAACCATTAAAAGATAATACGAATAAAATACACACACACACACAATTTTAATAAGTATAAGAGTCCTTTTTTCTTTTTGGTTTTTCAAATTTTTTGTTTTTATATTTTACTCTTTAAGAATAACTTTCACTTTATATAAATAATATTTCTCATTTTCTTAGCTCTTATTTATTTATTGTTGTATACAAGCTTTGATATTTAAAAAAAAAAAATTATTCTGAACTCATAAATTGTCCTTCGTTTCTTATTTACTGTTATATTAAAATATTTTCCTTTAATACATGATAAATTTTTCTTTCTTATTCACTTCTTATTTTTTTTGAAAATTATCCTTTTTCTTACACAAACAAGTTAAATTTCATGATATCTGAGTAAAATTTATTTCTAATGGTAAAAGGATAATAATGATACCAAATCGTTTTCGTAACATGATTTTTTTTTTTTTGTAGTTGTTTTTTTGTTCCTTCCTCTCTTTTTTTGAAAATAAATAGTTATTTTATCTCATACTATGTAATATGCCACTAATATAACAAAATAATAATGAAAATAATATACAGGATTCATTTATTCATTTTCCTCTCCTCTCCTCAATTCTATTCTGTTATACTAAGTCTGTTATATTATTATATACTCGTATATAGTTTCAAAAACAGATCCTTATTTTGAAGCTGATTTGATGATCCTTTGATAATTGTTTCTATATATTTTTTAAACACTATTTCTAAGTGATTTGCAAAATATTATTTCTATTCTCTTCTATTATCCTCCATCTCTTTTCTTTCGCTATAATGTTTATAAGCATTTATAATAATGTAGAGGGTATTTAATTTTCCATATTTTAAAAGAAGAAAGTCCTTTTTTTTTAATAATAATGTTATTTCTTAAGTAATATTTAATGTAAAGTTGAATGTCCTGGCTTCTTACTTAATATTTATGTACATGGTATAATTCTGCAGCTACTTATATATTTACTTGTATATTTAAAATTATTTTTAAATCGTATTACATTTTGTAAATACCCATATTTATATTATTATACATGCATATTTTATGTGTTTAAATGTGTTTGTGCGTGGATTTTATAAAATTAATGTAATTTCAAATAAAAATTTTTATCATTTCACTGCACATCTAAATCCTGTATTGAGATACTGAGCTGTAGAAGAAAGAGAAAAGAAACAAAATAAAAATTATAAATTAAAAATAAGAGGGTTAATTTCAATCAATTAGAGCAAAGAAAATTTGTTCACATAAAAGGATGATGATGATATTTAAATAAAAAAAAATAAAAAAAAAATAAAATATTAAAAAATTGTAAGAATATTGTTTTAAGTATAATTAATGTTTTTTTTTTTTTGAAATTGTTATTGACCCAGTAAATATTTAAATAAAAAAACTAGAAGAAAATTCTTCCTCCTAACACATAATTATTATTATTACACTTCAGATACACTTGTACAACTTTATTTTTGAAAAGAATGTCGGGAATTTAATTAACATTAAATATAAAATAAATGCAATTATGAAGGTCATAACAGAAGAATTTCTTTCCTTTCCTTCAAGTATTTGAATTTTTTTTCAAAAAATTAATTATGCAATAAGATGATTTAATATTCCCTTAAAAAATGTGAGTAATTAGGGAAAAAAAAGAGCTCATTCTAACGTGAATAGCAGATAAATTCGCTCTATTATTAATGAATTTTTATAATTATACTTGCGAATTGTGCATATTAAATTCCGATAACAAACGAACTAAATAATAGGTCAGTTTGCGTGTTTAAAATAATTCTAGTCACATTGCTTCAAATTGAAGGTTTTATTTGAAAACGACTAGAGAAATTTGAAGGCGTTGAATGAAGCTTCTCGATGTTTATTACCATGTGACGGGCTATGGAATAAACCTATGATTATCAAATAATGAAGGTTCAGTTCATTAATACATTATCGGATTAATTGGAATAAATTATGTTTGGTTATTAATGGCAGGTTATTAAATGTTTAATCTAAGCAATCAATATCTGAAAACAATATAATTGAACAAACATTCATTTTAGAAAATGATCTTCATAGAACATAAAATGAAGCTGTCATGCACTTTTAAGTTCACCTTTAATTAACGAAAACATAAACGTTCCAATTTAATTTGTAATTCTTTTGTTTCTACTGAATATTTTTGTAAGCTTTTGAAAGAGATGATTCGTCTCAGAGATAGGAAGAAAATATGTTCGAGATCAGCCGGGATTTCGAAATGCAAGCCTGGTTGGTTGGTTAACTGGCGTGGCTGGTGTGACAGATTTGCAACACCTCAACAAACAAAAAATGTGCCATGTTGCTACCACCATCCCGTGACCGTCATTGAAGGTCGATAACAGGTGGCCTATCTAAGCCACCCGGTTCTTTTGAGGAATCTATCTAAATCCTCGATGCCAAACCTCGTACAGCTGGTTTACTACTAATCTATATAATTGTATTAAAATTTTGGTAAAATAATGACTGCTACTGATGGAGAGAAATGGCTAAATAGATACACATTTTAACACCGAAACTAAATTATTTACATATGCCTATATATTTCGGACGTAAACTTCTTTTAATTCCAAAGCAGGATATTGGAGAATATTCATTATACCATAACTATTTAATGACCAAATCACAAACTTAAATTGTTTCTTTAAAAATATTTAGTTAAAATTTCATCCACAGTCTATTAATTTTATAAATTTTATAAACTTAATTTTTGAAATGTTAAGCTTGAAAATTATTACATCCCATAATCCGTGTTATCGTTTTACTGCCGGACAATTTCTTCTCTTAAGGCATTCTTATTATGAAGAAAAATTTTCATTTATTTATTTTCCCAAATCCACAAGAATTCAATTTTCACATAATTTTATAAGGTCCTTTTAACTTTTGCAAAAAAAACACAAAACAAGAAAAGGAAAAAACTAACCTAAAATTTTTTTAGAGTCTTTTTGCAAAGAAGAATATTTTTTTATTATTTTTTTTTTTTTCTCAACAAAAAATACCACAATTCTACGAACTTATAAAAAAAATATTTTTGCAAATGAGAAAAAAAGTCATTTTTCGCAACAAAAAATCGGGGGAAAAAAAGCAAATCCAAAAAATAGGAAAAATCTAAAAATAATAAAAAAAAAACAATTTTTTTTATCAGACTAAGAATTACAGGGTCACGTGACATGTTTATGAAAAGGATATATAAAAATAATTTTGTGTTTTTTCTTTCTTTTTCTTCCTATTTTTGCTATTTTTGTTAGTTTTGTCTCTAGATCTAATAAAAAAAAAGATATTTTCTATTTTAGATTTTTAAAATTTTTATCCTGTTATCCTGTTACATCCTGTTGTACTGCATATTTGTATAACAGTGTATAAGAATGTGACAGTAATACTGTTTTTAAGATTTGTTGTTATTGCTTTTTATACCCTGCACCTTAGTGAAGGGTACATTAACGTTGATATTGAGTTTGAAACCATTTGAAAGAGTCATTTGTGGTATAAACTTTAACCTTGAAAATATTCTTGTTTAGTGTAAAACTCTGTGTTGACTTCGACATGTCCGTTCACTCATCCCATCGCATGATAACTGAAAAACGAATAAAGCAAACATCACAAAGCTTTTAGGAATTGTTTCTTTCTTTTAAGAACGGCCACTTCTATAATCGGGCAACGGTTACAGTTGATACGGTTAGTGTAGCCCTCCATATCGCACTTAAACTACCCCAGTTTCAAGCAAATACCCGAAGATATCCCTCAGAGACTTGCATGAAACTTGTTAAGCTTGCTTTAAATATTTAAAAACTAACTAAGGTAAGTGTATAAAATTTGATAAAAAATGTCGAAATTTATACACACCTTGAAAATTTAATTCACTTAGCTCAGGCTTTGATTCTATAACTAGATTCTCAATTAGTGTAGGGTATAATACGGTCGGTTATGATCAACTGAAACGTTTTTACTTGTATTTTTGTCAAATTTTCGAAAAATAAAATTTTTTTTTTTAAGAGAATATGTAAACAGATTTTGTCTAAAAAGAAAAAAAAAAAAAACAATTTTTCTCCCTTTTCCTCTTCGTTTTTCTACTTTACCTTTGGATTCTTTTTGAATTTAATTTATATTGCAAACAAGTTGTGGGTAAATATTTTAAACAAATCATATAAATAAGTCGAAAAAAATCCTTTTTGTGACATAAACAGATTTTGAAATTTAAATTATTATTCCGTCGTTTTGAAATGGTTTTAAAATGCTTATTTATCCATAAATTTTGTTACAGGTACGACATGGCTGGATGGAATAAGGAAAAAGATCTAGATAAATTTATTTGGACAATTAAATGTGGTGTCGTATATTTTATGTGTGAGTCGGAAGTAGTCGGACTACACTTTCTTTGGGTACGTACAGAGTTCTGAGAAAATATATGGAGTAAGACACCTCACTTGCTCTGAAATTTTAAGGAAAGCTAAAAGACCAGGAAAATTATTGAATTAATAAAGTTTTCTCTTTTACTCAACTGCATTATAAAGTTTGATTGTGTTATATAAAGATATAAGGTCAAGATAATATTTTAAGGGTACCAAAGACAACGACCCTGTATGCGCTGAATGATTGGAATGAACAGGCCCTTGTCGGCTATTGGAGCAATTGCTCGGGTCTTTCGCACTCCAAAAAAAAATATGTGCTTTGGGACGGAGAGGGCGGCAATTAACCGCACATGTTCATCTAAATTTGAGGCTACATGTCAAGTGAGGTGGGTATACTCAATGAATACTGCAACACGACGTTCCATATGAACAGGATGGGCAAAAACGGAGAGCGAAGTCTGCCTCTTTTTCTTTCTCTGCCTGAAAGAGGACGAATCGGTAGAGCAATTATTGTGTGAATTATCTTGTGGCTCGGAGTAACTGAAATGTCGTAATTTGTCAGGGACCTCAGTCCTATATGTGAAAAAAAATAATAAATTGTATGAGAGCTGGATGTATATAAATATTTCTAGAGTTCTACTCGTATTATTGTTTCC